GATTTTATTTATACTTTATACTTTATTTATAGTTATTTTTCTTTTTTTTTCTTTTTTTTTCTTTTTTTTTTAAAACTTAGGATTTTTTTTTTGTAAAAAAATATTTTTTTTAAAAAAGCACCGATCAAAAACAAAAATAATAAAAGTAAACAATAGACTTATTATTATAATAATTGTAAAAATATTAATAATATTTTAAATTTATAATAATAATGAAATAATAAAAATAATAAAAATAATAAAAATAATAAAAATAGTAAAAATAATTGTTTTTTTTTTTTTTTCGTGTTTTTGATAAAAAATTGGGTTGTTTCCTATTAAAAATTATTTATAATAACTCATGTTTATATCTTCATTTTGTTCTACAGGCTAAATCCCACCAAAAAAAAAGATAAAAAAAAGATAAAAATTTATTGTATTTGAAATAAAAATAAATTTTTTTTTTTTTTAAAATTTTTAAATTTTTTTATAAATTTTTTTAAAAATTTTTTAATATTAAGTGCACTGTCACCTCATCAATTAAAATTTTTTATTTTTTTCAATTTTTTTCATTTTAAAGTTTCATTTTTTAATTTTTTTATTCACCTTTATTGTATTTGTGTTATTGTTGGTTTTTAAAAAGACCATTTAGTTTATTATTTTTATTTTTAATAAATAGATAAATATAGTATATTTCATAGTTTAATAATAAATAAATTTATTTAATATTATAATGTTTTAAAAAATAAAAATAGTAATCAATATATATATAAATAAATAAATAAATATAATATAAATATAGAATAATAACAATAACAAATAATAACAATAATAATGATAAGATTAACATTTCCACTTTATTGTCAAGTAACAGTTGTATTAACAGCTTTGGTTATTTACCATGCTGCAAATAAATATGAACAGTTTTATCCAACTGGTGTTTATTTGGCAACTGCTAAACATGCACTTTTGGCAATTACAAATTTTGCAGTAGTTTTAGCATATTTAATTGGGAAATTAGTTATTAAAGTGTTTTTAGAAAGAATACACGAAAGAGAAATAGATGTAATAAATATTAATATTGGAAAAAAAAAAAAACTATTTATTTTATATAATACTAATATTGTTTTTTTTCAACTCTATAGCTATTAAACGATAGATTAAAAACTTCAATTACAGATACTATTTTAGCATTAACTATATTTAGAGAACATTTTAATGCACAGTTTGTATTTTTATTATTGGTTTTATTATTCTTCCAAGTTTTTCATTGGTTAGCAAAATATCGTGTCGAATATGTATGTATTACATTACATTAAACAATAATTATCATGGTTTACTAACTGCCTTTATTTCTTTTTAGCTTGAACATTCACCATTTGATTTCAAAAAGAATATCAAATTATTTACACTTTTGGTTATTTTATTATTTTTTGATGTAATATTTTTATATTTCGCAATCAATTCAGTTTTTGAAAATGGTACACCAAACTCAATGATGTTATTTAGCTTGGAGGTAAATATTTGTTTTTTTTCATTCATTATATGATTTTTTTCATTTTATTAATTTTTTATTTCAAAAATATTAGTATGGATTGTTATTAGTTTCATCTATTTCAACAATTATTTCATTCTTTATCAATATTGAAGGTATTAAAAGAGAGGGTAGATGGGATCAAAAAGGTTTATATATTTTATATTTAGAATTTTTCTCTGAAGGTATCAAAACAATCTTATATGGCATGTTCTTTATTGTTTCACTTATTCATATAGGTAGGTTATTATTTACATTATATAGGTAATATAGTTTTAAGAAATATAATTAACACAAAGATATTGTTTTATAGGTTTACCAATTCATATTATTAGACAATTATTTATTTCATTTAGAACCTTCTATCGTAGATTACAAGATTTAATTCAATATCAAAGTATTATGAATGAAAGATTCCAAGATGCTACTGAGCAAGAGTTAGAAAATTCAGATAAGATTTGTATTGTTTGCAGAGAAGATATGACATCAGGCAAAAAATTACCATGTGGTCATATTCTCCATTTACATTGTTTAAGATCATGGTTAGAAAGACAATTCACATGTCCAATTTGCAGAGCTTTGGTTATTGTCGATAATCGTCCAGTTGGATTTTTTGGAAGATTATTTAGAAGAGTTCCAGCACAACCTGAAGCAGGTGGTCCAGTTCAACCAGCAGCTCCAGTTCAACAACCACAACCACCAGCAGCTCCAGTTCAACAGCCACAACCACCAGTAGCTCATAATCAAGCACTCTATCAATTCCAAAGACCACTTGATTTCCATCAATTAAATAATTTAAATAGAATGGGTTTAGACCCACAAAGATTTGTCAGAGTTCAAAATGAAGTACATCAAATGAACCAACAACCACAACCCCAGCCAGCATTCCAACAACCCCAACCAACATTCCAACAACCCCAACCAGCATTCCAACAATCCCAACCAGCATTCCAACAAAATGGAAACGTTGAACCGTTATTTAGAAATGATGATGATCTTATATTACATATTATGCAAATGCAAAACCATCTTTCATTTATAAATCTACAATTTGACCATGTAAGACAATATTTAATTCGTAAAGGTAGAAATGATATTGATATGAATGGATTATTTAATAATGGTTTTAACGCTAATGAATTAAATCGATTTAACAATAATGGTGCCACATCTAATAGCAGTAATGGTGTCAATAATAATAATAATAATATTAATAATAACAATAATAACAATAACAATAATAACATTAATAATAATAAAAAAGAGGATAAGGGAGATAATATAGAAAAAAATAACGAAGATTTAAATGAATCAGCAAAATCAAAAAATAAATTTAGTAGTATTATAGATGATATCGAAAATATAGAAAAGAAAATAGAAACAATTACCGAATCAATTGGAGGTAATGATGATGCAATGGAGTCAAATACATCAGATTTATCACCAACTAGAAGCAAGCTTAATGTATCATCAAGTGATAGTGTATCATCTGTAGAAGGCGATACAAACAATAATAATAATAGCAGTAAAAACAATGAAAATGGTGATAAATCAAATAACGATAACTGTACAGATTCACCAATTGTTTATGACGAACCAAAGCAAAGTAACGATATTCTCGATCAATTAAGAAAAAGAGCTGCTAGACATTCCAAAGAAAATAGATCAAATGAATAAATAAAAATAAATCTTTTAAAACAAATATAATAAAGAAACAATTTACAAAATTTTTTTTTTTTTTTTATTAAATTATAAATCTATATTCCTTTCTAATGGTTTAGAAGGGGTTTTAATAATTTTCTTTTTTATTATAACTTTTTTCTTTGTGGGCTGTTGTTGTTGTTGTTGTTGTTGTTGTTGTTGTTGTTGTTGCAGTTCTAATGATGGATCTTTTAATAGATAATCGTCATTTTGGAAATTGTATTCATCATCTTCATCTTTGCTGAAAAGGCTATTTTCTGGTAATTTAATATTGAAGTTTGATGGTGACGGAAATTCATTGGTCACAATGTTATTATTATTAAATGCATTCGTTTTAAATGATGTTTTAAATGATTGATCAAGTAAATTGCTGTAGTTAATTTCTTCTTCCTTTTCATTAATATTGCTTTTAAAGTTTTGGTCTAATAAATCGCTGTAGTTAATTTCATCATCTTTTTCTCTATTATTATAATTATTATTATTATTATTATTATTATTATTATTATTATTATTATTATTATTAAAGTTTTGGTCTAATAAATCACTATAGTTAATTTCATCTTCTTTTTCTATAATTTTTTTATTTTCCATTTTATTAATATTTATATTTGAAAATTTGTTTTCCAAAGATTCTTTATTTTTATTGGTATCTGGGAATTCATATTCTGCTATTATTGAATCAGAGTCATTGTTACTACTAATATTACTATTGTGGAGTGAAGTTGAGTTTCTATTATTTATTATTTCTTTTATATCATTAAGTTCTTTAATGTTACTATTATTACTTTCGCTATATGTTTCATTTTGTGTGTCCTTATTAAAATTTGAATGGTCTATTAGGGTATCAAAGCTTGAGGAGTTTACAATTAATGAAAATCTGGTATCATCGACTTTTTTTAAAATATCTAATATTAAAGTTGTTATTGATTTATCCAGCATTATTGAATTGGATTTATAATATGACCTGAAATAGTTGGTATATGAATTAGTTTGTGTTGGTATATTATCGTTATATATTATAGTTCGCAAATACCTACAGTAGTATTGAATCATCTTTATTAAGCATTTCTTTGTGTTTTATAAAAAATAGTGAGGTTTTCTTTTCGTTTAATAGATGTCTTATATAGGATCTGGATCTACCATTATCTGTTAAAATTAGTGAATAGCTTTTAATATCTAAAAAATCTGAATGGTTTATTATCTTGTGTTCGTTTTGGATTAATGTTATAATATTCCATAGACTAAAATTATTGATATTGTTGATTAGGAGTTTTTCAATTGACATACAGAGACGAGAAACACCAAAACTACTTTCATATAGTGTAGTAGGTTGTGTGGGTGTTGATTCTGGTAATGTAATTAATGTGTATATTATGTATCTAATTGAAATTCTTAAATCTTCAATAATATTTTCTTTCTTTATACTTTCATTTTCATTTATTATTCTTTCTTCTATACTTTGAACTGTTGGCCAGGATTTATTGGTATCACCACCATCATCAGTTTTAATATCTTTTCTAACACTGCTATCTACATTGGTGTCATTAATATCAAAATTATTATTATTATCTTCCATGTCAATGAAAACTAAAAAAATCAATTAATAAAAAAAAAAAAATATAAAAATTAAAAATTTAAATTTTTTACAAAAAAAAAAAAAATTAATATATAAAAAATAAAAAATAAAATATGGGAAATTATTTAAAAATAAAGTTTAGATAAATAAAATTTATTTTTTCTTTTTTTTATTTTTTTTTTAATCAATTGGTTATTCTTAAAAAATCAGTTATATAATTAATTAAATTAATAGTTTTTTCTAAATAGTTTTTTGTTAAATAAAATAGACCGAATCTTTTTTTAATTAATAAATCTAAATCACCATTAAACACTATTCCTTCATTTTCCATCGTGATTCGAGCTAGTGGACGCCAACGTGATAGCATGGTTTGCTCAAATGTTGATATTAGGGTTTTTAGGTTGGTAGAGTCAGTATTCTTTTTTTCAATTAGAAAATTACCCAATTCGTATGAATCATATAGTGCATTGTTACAACCAAGTCCGGCAAATGGGGATATTGGATGGCAGGCATCCCCGATAATGGTAATATTTGATTTTGATTCCCAATTTTGGTCCAATGGAGCTTGATAAAGAATTCTCAATTTAAAAAGGCCTTCGCTTTGATCGATCAATTGATGATACATTGGGGACCAATTTGGAACTAGTTCATTTTTTAAATAATCTCTAATTTCTTGAGTAGCTTGTTTAGTTTTAATGTCAAATCCTTTAGACTTTACCCATGTTTCTTCTACAAGTTGCGCAAAGCTGAAAATCAACGAACCATCACTTTTTTGTTGGGCTAAAAATACAATACCATCATCTACACCAGACTTATCCATAGTAAACATTAATCCTTGGTTAACCAATTGATACAATTGTGGATTGGTATCTTTAGCATTGGTTATTTCACCTTCAATCATTGTAATGCCCATATATTGGGGTTTAATTGGAGTAATGTAGCTCCTGACCTTTGAGTTGATACCATCGCACCCAATTACAAAATCTACAATTTCTTTTATTTCCCCATCGTTAAATTCTAGTTCAATTTGCCCATTTTCTAGTTGTTTTAATTGTTTAAAGTGGCAACCCCATGTAATTGTATTTTCTTGTAATGAATCTATTAAAATATCTCTAAGGTCACCTCTATCAATTTCAGGACGTTGAGATTTTATTTTTAAGAATGGTTTTCTTACTTTTACATTACAATTCTTATCGGTAAAGGTGAAACATTCTCCATCGGGTCTTGATTTACTCTTAAATTGTTCAATTAAACCAGCCGCTTTCAATAGCATTTGACCTATATCTTCATGTAAATCAAGTGAGCTACCTTGTGGACGACTCTCTCTACTTGTATCTCTTTCAAAAACTTTTACATTGTCAAAGCCATTAATTTGTAAATATCTTGCTAATCCCAATCCAGAAGGTCCACCACCAATAATACCAATTTTTAAATCTTTTATTAATTTATTATCCATTTTACAAATTTTTTTTTTAATTATTATATTTTTTTATTATATTTGCTGATGTTTTTATTTTTTTTATTTATAGTTTTTTTTTTTGTTTAAAAAAAACAAAAATTAAAAAATAAAATTAAATTTAAATAAAAAAAAAAAAATATAATCATGATAATTGGATAATTAATTATAACAACATTAATGATGAAAAATGTTTTCTATATTAGGATTATTTTTTTTGTTATTATTGTTGTCATCCATTATTAAACCCCACTTTAAAAATAACCTCACCCCATTTATAAATTTTTTTTTTTTTAAAATGTGTTTTTATTTATTTATTTTATTTAAACTTCCAGACTATTCTATAAATAAAAATAATGTAAGCATAGAACCATTTGTTTTACAAATAACTTCTTTGTATGTTATAAAAAAAATTATTATCATTAAAATAATAAATCTTAAAAAATTAAATTTTATTGATTTATTTTTTTCTTTTCAGTTGGAAATTTTTTTTTTTTTTTTAAATTATTTTTTATTGGTGAAAGTTAAATTAAAATTTTTTTTTTTTTTAAAAAAAATCTAAAACAACATGGATTTTAAAAATAATATTTTATAATAAATTAGTTTTTAAGGGAGGTTTTAAAAAAAATTAAAATAATGAGTTTTTTTTGAAAGTGGTGTTTATTGATAATTACTAACATAAGTATAAATTTTAATATTTTAAATATTAAATTAATTAAAAGTTTTAAGATTTAAATTTGGTTTTTTTAAAAAAATAATTTTATGTTCTATAAAAGTTTATTTTTATATTAGAATTAAAACTACAATTAAACATATTGATAATTTTGTATTGAATTGTTTATGCAAAAAGAATTTAATTCAAATAATTAATAAAAAAAAACAAAATTTTGGAAAAATTGTTATCCACGAATTTATGACTTATCCCTTCAATCAGATTAACACGACTTTTATTAATTTACTTTTAAAATTTTTTAAAGTTATTTTATTTGAAGAATCAATTCTATAAAAAACCAAGGTCAATAAAAAACCCAAGGACCATAAAAAACCCAAGGACCATAAAAAACCCAAGGACCATAAAAATTTTGAGCATTATATAATTGCCGTGATAGTATAGTGGTAGTACATAGCATTGTGGCTGCTTTGACCCTGGTTCGATTCCAGGTCGCGGCATCTTTTTTTATAATTTCCTTTATTCAAATTGTTTGAAAAAAAAAAAAAAAAAATGGTCAAATTAACAATTTTCATCAAATTGCCGTGATAGTATAGTGGTAGTACATAGCATTGTGGCTGCTTTGACCCTGGTTCGATTCCAGGTCGCGGCATCTTTTGATTAGTATTTATCTTTTTGGTGATTTATTTTAAATAACTTCAGATGGACTTATACCTCTGTTTTTTGGAGTCAGGAATCATTACTTTTTATGATTTTGAGAAAGCTTTTGACTCAATACATCATGATGCATTTTATGATTTTGAGAAAGCTTTTGACTCTATATCTCATGATGCCATTTACAGAACACTATTACACATTCAGTACCAACCAAACTAACTAATCTTATTATGCAACTACTCACCAATTCCTTTGCAAAAATAGAAATAAATGGTAAAAATACTGATAAATTTATAATAGGACGAGGAGTTAAACAAGGAGATCCTTTATCACCGACTCTTTATGTAATGGTAATAGAAGCTTTAGCTAGATCAATACTAGAAGATAAATCAATAATCGGACTTCCTTTAGACAACACAAACAGAAGAATCAAATTTCAAGGTTTTGCAGATGATTCATCATCAATGGTTCATAACAACGACCAACTTAATTTGGTACTTCAACACTTCAATCAATTTTGCACAGCAACATCATCAAAACTAAATATAGATAAATCAGTTTCAATAACAATCAACAACCCAAACACAACAAATTCAGTTATTCCAATATCAAATAAACCAGAAAGATATTTAGGTTACTACTTTACAGGTACCGGAATCCATAGAAAACTACCAGAAATACTGAATTCTATAAGATCCTCGTTATCATTATGGAAAACAACTAGTAACTCAATTAAAACAAAAGTAAACATCCTCAAATCCTTTGCACTATCAAGAATAACATATTACTCGTATATTGAAGAATTCAACGATGATGAAATTAAAGAAATCAATAAAATTGCAGATTGGTTCCTATCAGCACCTAACAATAAAAGTCCAAATGGTTTTAAAGTCTTCAAATTAATGAGCTCTAAAAGAGCAAATTATCCTATGGATCAAGGAGGTTGGAATCTTTGGAATATCAAAAACAGACAAAAAGCACAAAGATTATGGATGATAAATCAAATAATCAATAAAATTGAAACTAACAAAATAGAATCAGAATATCAACACAGTTGGAAACATCAAATATCAACCAAAACAATAACTTCAGATTACCTATTTAAAAACTACAATGATTGGATACAAATAAAAGTTAAAAAAGGACTACTAGACGGGTTGAAATCCATTAAAAATAAAGATGGCAAACCTCTTTCTTTAGCAGAATGGTATTCGGAAATAAACAATCTCAACAGCTTTACACCCAAAACAGAATTCCAACAATGTCTTCAACTTACAGGTTATAGCTATATCAACCTATTCAATAATATACTTAATATTAAAGATCCAAAATCAAGAAACACTCTATTCAAATTCCAAGCAAGATGCTTACCCATCAACTTCATTCACAACAAACCATGTAGACTATGTAATGAAAATCTTAATAATGATCCATATGGTCATCTATTTTTCAAATGTAAAAAAACTCTGAAATTCATCAACTTCAATAAACTAAAATCATTTATATTCATTACTTCGGGAAGGGGCCTCAATTGGTCACTGGACATAACAAGATCAAGAAGGAATATATCAATAAAAAATATTACATACAAAATCCCAGAAGGTCGCAAATCCGATGGAGAAATAAATATGGATTACAACAACACCAGATTCCACAAATCACACTTCCAATGGAACTATAAAGCAATAGATTTCGACTTAACTAGATGTTTCGCTTATAGAAATGCCATAGCCCTGGTATTTCATCATGTTTGGATTTGGTTATGTAAAGAATTATATGACGATCAAGAAAATACAATAAAAGAACTCGATTATAAGAATCTAACCTCAAAATGGACTAAACTAGCTACTTTAGAATACTTAAAAGGTTTAAAAAACATCAAGGAAAGACACGCTAAACAACCCCAAACAATTAGCAACATCAATGAAGAATATAGAAAATTCAAAAGAAAAATAGCAAGAGCATACTTCATCAGCTTCAAATCTTTACCAAATATCAACAGTTTAGAATATTTTCTTTAAATACTTTATAAAAAAACATTTAATAAAATTTTACTGATTAATTAAAAGCATTTGCTTTTTATTATCTTCACTTTTAAAAAAAAAAAAAAAAAAAAAAAAAAAAAAATTTTGGGGTTTTGGAAAAAATTTTGTTTTTTTTTTTGATTAATTTTAAAAATTGTTTTTTAATTTTTTCCCCAAATTTTTTTAAAAAAAAAAAAAAAAAAAAAAAAAAAAAAAAAAAAAAAAAAAAATATATTGTTGCTTTTGATTATATTTACTTTTAAAATGGAAAATTTAAATTTAATTATATTTATATTTTTTATTTGAGACATATTGTAGCTTTTAATTATCTTCACTTTTTTTTAAAAAAAAATACTGATTGATGATAGATTTTTGATTTTGAATTTAATAGTCTTAAAATGTGTTAAATAAATGGATCAATTGCTTTCCAAAATTTGATTTATGTTTTACTTTGTGTAATGGAGTCAATTGATTTTGGAATTGAGTTGCTAGTTTAAATATTGTTGTCGATTTATTATTTTCGAACTAAATTGTTGATTTGATTTGAATGATTTTATCTGATGCGAAATAGGGATGACAATATTGGTTTTTCATTCATTTTGTAAATAACTAATATTATGACTATTATAATTACTAATATATTGAATATTTTTTTCTAAGTTATATTATTTTTTTTTTTTTTTCTTTTTTATATTTTTTTTTCTTTTTTTATTTTTTATATTGATTATTTATTATATAGATTGTTTAAAAATTAATGGTTATGGAATAGATATGAATTTCCATTCAACTATATTTATGATAATCTTTGTAATATATTTTTTAGTTGTCTTTGTGGTAGCCCAAAAATTATTATTCAACTAATTGTTTTTTTTTAATTATAATAATAATTTTTTAAAAATTTTTCCACAAAAGGATTTTTTAAATGAATTCTGTATTAATTTTATAATAAAAAATAAAACATTAATCACCACACTACGCAATGGTTCATAGTGTGGGGTGTGTGGTACAAATTCCTTCATATCCAAAAAATAAATTTTAAAATTTAAAATTTAAAAAAAAAATTATTTTTTTATTTTTATTTTTATTTTTATTTTTAATTCACCCACATAGACTTTCTTTTAACATTATTCATGTAAGTAGTATTAATAAACAATAAATATAAAATTTTATTATAAATATTAACAACATTTAAAATTTTTTTTTTTTTGGTCATACAGATATACAAAATTTTATATTCAAAAATGGAACAAACAAATAAAAAGATAAAAGACACCCCAACTGTTGATCCAAGAACAATAGAAGAAATAATCAACGAAAAACTTGCCATGGATTATGAAAAGGAGATTGAAGAAACAAAAGAAGAAATTATTGATAAGGAAATAAAAGTTCAAAATATTAAAACTGGAATTATGAGACCATATTATTATGAAGATGAAGTGGATATTTCAAGATTGGAAAATGAAATAAAGGAAGGAAAAGAAGAAATAATTGAAAAGTTATATTTATTAAAAAAAGTAGATAGTAGTAGAGAAATCAGTGCCATATCTCCAAGAAAAATGAAAGAAGAAGTTAAAGAATTGCAACAATCCCTTGAAAACGCTGAAGAAGATTATGAAATCGAAGAAATAGATTTTGAAATTGAAAAAACCAATTGTAAAAATATAAGAAAAGAACATGAAAAGCATTTAGAAACTCTAGAAAAAGATATTGATATAATAAACGTTCAACTCGAAACCATAATCAAAAAAAATGAAGAAAAGGAAAAAGAATTAGAGGAAATAAGAAAAAAAAATGAAAACAAATTTTTAAAGAAACAAGCTTTGGAATCACTTTTGTGCCAATCTGAAGAAGAAATCGAGAGATTGGAAATGGTTCTAGGTCATATGGTCTTTACAAGATTAAGTAAAATGAACATTGATAACTAGATCATGTTCATAAACTTTCTATAGATAATTATTTAATTTAATAAAAACATTGTAAATTATAAAAAATTTTCTTTTTTTTTTTCTTTTTTTTTAAAATTTATTATACTACATAATTTTATTATTTTTAATTATATTATTATTTTTAATTTACAATTTAATAAATTTTATTAATTTAAAATATACTTTTTAATTCCTTTCCGTATTTTAAAATTGGTACTACATAGTAGGGCTTTATTACCCAAATCCACGATTGTTACTTTATTACCTTCATAATCACGAGTGAATCCTTCATACTTTTGAACAACATGTATTTCTGGTGGATATATCTTTGGGCAGATAATTTGTTATTAAATAATATTCTTTTAAAATTTGTTCTACTCCTGAAATACCACAATATACACTCTTACCATTATAACCACCTTTTGAACCACTACTTAACTTCTTGAATTTACTTTGTTTTCTCAAAACAGTTACCATTATAAACTATGCTACTAATATTTATACAATTTCAAATCTTCTCAACACTTTGATAATAATTTTCATTTTATTTATATTGTTTTATTGATAATAATTTTAAATATTTACCTTTAATTTGGGAAAAACAACACTATGTAAAAAAATTAAAAAAATATGATTGAATAAGTTGACTTTTAGAAGTTTTTTCTTAACCAGTGAACAATATTTCATCTGAATTCTGAACAATAATTAAAATCACCATAGATTTGATAATGAAAACATTTGGCTATTATAATATTGGAATCAAAATATAAATACTATATAAGCTTTTATTTTAAAGAGTGCTAATGAAAGGTTTAATATAATTATTAAAGGGATAAATAATATCATTAAAAAATTTTTTTTTTATTTTTATTTTTAAAAAACAAAAAATAAAAATTAAATATTTTAAAATAGTTGATTGATGTAAATTAAATGAATTTATTATTATTAAATGGTGAAAAAAATGTGTTTCTAATTTATAAAAAAGTATAAAATGAGTGAGATACATTATTATATACAAGAAATGGGTGAAATTTTAAAAAAATAAATAATTATTTTATAATTAATTTTATTATTTATTTATTTATTTAAAAGTATGATATCCCTCATATAAATATTAATTGTATAAACCATAGATAGAGTAATATTAAAAAACAAATATTATTCATAAAAAATACAAAAAAAAAAAATTATTAAATAAAGGTGAAGTTGAATAATGGAATAGCTTCCAAAAATAAAAAAACTAAATATAAAAAAATAAACAATAAATAATAAAATAATTATAATCATTTGTTTTTAATCTTTTATTTATAAATATAAAAATTATAATTAATTTATTTAATCAAACTAAATAATTATTATTTTTATATTCAATAAATTAATTAAATTGTCTTTTTTTTTCAAATCTTTTTTTTACAATGTAAAAGTTTACCTATGCATTCTGGATATCAATCGAGAGAGAATTTAATGAAATTTTTAAATCAAATAAATAGATTTAATTAATTTATCAATCTAAAATTTTAAAAGAAAAGGTTGAAACTATTGAATGAAATTCATTAGCTCTATATTATAATAATATAAAAACTAATACAACTATAAACAATTGTTTTTTTATTTAATTTTATTTTTTTTTTATTTTTTTTTAATTGTTTTAATAATTTTTTATTTTTTTTCAATTTTAAAAAAATACCTTATTAAAATTTTTTTTTTTTTTTTCAATAAAAATTATAGCTTTTATACCATATACATATAGTTTTTAATCCATCCAGCTTCAATTTTTCAAAATCACTTATATTTAATAACAATCATTCATTTTTTTTCACTTGTACATATTCCTTTTTTATTTTATATTTTTTTTTTGTAAATAGTTTATATAAATATTTATCTTTTTGTTTTGTACATATTTTTGTTCATTTCATTCACCATTTTTTTTTGTTATTTATATATTTATTTGTAAATAATTTTTTTATTTTTTTTGTAAATAATTATTTTTATTTTTTTATATCTTTTATATTTTTTTTATTTATTAAATATAATTGATTTTTGTAAAAAAAATGGATTTTTTTTTATTTATATGTATTTTTCCATTATTTGTTGGTATCATCGGTTTTTGTTTAAGTTCATTCATAAACAACAACCAAGAAAAAAGTTGGGAATCAGTCAACTATCAACAACAAGAACAATACCAACAGTACCAACAAGACCAACACCAACAAGACCAAGACCAAGACCAAGACCAACACCAACCACAACCACAACAGCCACAACTCCAACAACACCAACAGCACCAACAACACCAACAACCACATCAACCACCAGAGAGACAAATACCCCATCAACTACAAAATAAAAAGTATACTTCTTCACAAATTAGTTGTGATATCATAGAGGATTTGGTCAATTCTTTTGGAAAGCTATGTCTTGAACCTGAATTGACAGAAGTTGAAAAGGCCCGTAAACGTTTAAATGAACGTATGGAGCTTTACCAGTTGATGGCTAGAAGGGAAATTCCAGGTGATGGTAATTGCCAAATGCATGCACTATCAGACCAAATCTATGGTAACCTGAACCATAGTAGAGCCATTAGAAAGTCTATTGTATCTTGGCTCAGAAAAAATAAGAACCTTTCCCTTCCAAACGGTGCCCGTCTCTCTAGCTTTGTCTCAACTAGTTGGGACAGATATTGTAATAATATGGCCAAAAATGGTACATGGGGTGACCATTTAACATTAATCGCTGCTGCAGAAATTTTCAAAACAAATATTTCAATAATTTCTACAGCTGAATCAGAGGGTAATTTTGTAATAGAAGTTACACCAAGTAAAAAAAGCGACAGTGGAATTTTGCTCTCTCATTTTGCCGAATTCCATTACGGTTCTTTGTGCCAATTGCACAATTAATTTTTTAAATAAGTAAGTTATTTTATTTTCCCACTACTTTTTCTAAACTATTGTATATTAATTCATTTTATTTAGCGTTCACCCTTTTTTAAATAATCAAGTAATATCCTTAGAATCCTGGCTATCTCTAGTCCTGTAGTGTAGTGGTAAAATTTATAGTAATACATTAGCATTCATATTGGTCCTCATCATCATTCATATTGGTCCTCATCAGCATCCTCACCGGCATTCATCTTGGTCCTCATCATCATCAGCATTCATTATCAGTATTCTTCTTGGTCCTCAGCATTATCATCATCAGCATCCTCACCGGCATTCCTCTTGGTCCTCGGCATTATCATCATCATCAGCATCCTCACCGGCATTCGTCTTGGTCCTCAGCATTATCATCATTAGCATTCATCTTGGTCCTCATCATTAGCATCCTCACCGGCATTCATCTTGGTACTAAGCATTATCACCATCAGCATTCATCTTGGTCCTCATCATCATCACCATCATCAGCATTCACCATCAGCAGCAGCAGCATTCATCAGCAGCAGCATCATCAACCCCAAAGCTTTAGAAAAGAACTTTTAGTAAATCAATAATAATTAATAATTTTATAAAAAAAAAAAAAAAAAAAAAAAAAATAATAATAAGAGAATATAATCTATTTGATGGATGAAATATATTTTCCCTGGCCAGGCAAATATATTGGAACATCAATTAGAATTAGGATTCTGAAACATCATTAAATTTTCAAATAAAATATAATAAAAGATAATAAATTTTTTTTTTTTATAAATAAAATGTTTATTTTTTACCGTTTTCCTTTTTATTAAAAATAGAACTGTTCAAGTATATAGAGGTTATTTATTCATTGTAGAAAGAAAATTAAAACATGTGCAGATTGCAACTTATGCTCGTAATTTATCTTAATTAAATATTAATATTTAAATCAAAATAAATAAATCAAGCCAACAACCACAATTTAATAATGTAGATGATGTCTTAAAAGCTAAAAGCGAATATTAGAATATGGTTTACCCGTAATCTTTTCAGTATTAGGTTCTGAAGCATCAACATTATCACCATCAGCATTCATCTTGGTCCTCATCATCCTCACCGGCATTCGTCTTGGTCCTCAGCATTATCATCATTAGCATTCGTCTTGGTCCTCATCATGAGCATCCTCACCGGCATTCATCTTGGTACTAAGCATTATCACCATCAGCATTCATCTTGGTCCTCATCATCATCACCATCACCATCATCAGCATTCATCATCATCAGCAGCAGCATTCATCAGCAGCAGCATCATCAACCCTAGAGCTTTAGAAAAGAACTTTTAGTAAAATAAAATAAAATTTTTTTTATAAGGGTTATTTTTATTATTTTTTTTTTAACAGATATATTAATATTCAATAAAATTTAAATCAATTTAAGGTATATAAATAAAAATAAAAATATAAATATTATTTATTTCGAGTAAATTTAACAGCATCTTCTACGACGATGACCAATATCGATATTAATATTGATAATGTTAGTGTTACCACCACTGCATGGATTAAAACATGGATTGAAACCACATGAACTGCCACTTAAGCTATTACCAAACCAAACTGTTTCATTATCAGAGAATGAGACACTTCCAGATGAGCTTAACATTGATTTAGATGAGGCACCGTTAGCTGAGTTCATTGATGAAATAGTTTCTTAAAAAAATAAAAGTTAATATTTATATTTTTTTAAATTTTAAATATAGTTTTATTAATATTTACTAATAATTGACATTTTATATAGTTTTTATCTTTTTATTATGGTTTGTTTTTAATTGAAATGAAAATTAAATTAATTTTGTTTTTTTTATACATTGTTAAATTTGTGAAAGATAATTCACCCAAAAAAATAACTTATAACAACAAGATGATTTTATAAAAACTAAAAAAACAAATTTAATTAAAAAAAAAAAAAAAAAAAAAAAAAATAATATTTAATATAAAAAGATTAAAACTTATTTAAATGAGCTTCAAGCATTATTAGTATGAAAAACCTAAATTTATTTAAAATACATATTTATAATTTTTAAATTATTTTAAAAATATTTTCATTTAAAAATTAAAAAATTCACCTTTTTTTAACATTAATAAAAATTTTCATTGTAATAATTATTTTAATCGAAATATTTACATACAATAACATATTTTTTAATAATTATCAATCTCTATATTTTATTTTTTTATATTTATTAATAATATTTTTTAGAAATGAATAAATCTTTCTTTAACAATGGATGAATCAATTATAATAATTTTAACATTATTGGAAATACTTTTAAATGCTTTAAAATAAAAGTAAGTAATAAACACTTAATCAAAAACAAATATATATAGAAAATGGGATTCGTTGCATAAAAAAGGAAAATTTATGAATTACTGACACAAATTATTTTTTATATTTTGGGTGTATATCAAGCAATATCAATAATATGGAAAGGTATTTCATAAAGTGGTAATGATAAAGAACCTGGTTCGAGTAATTTCATATATTGGTTGCTTAGAATCTGTTTTATCAAGTAAAAGTTAGAATAAGTTTTACCAAGTGTAGTGTAGAGCCCATTGCATAATGTAGTGCAAAAAAATATTTTATAACAAAAATAAATCACTTGTTTAATCAAAATTAGAAGTAAGGAGCCTGTTTCATCAAGTTGTGCAAAATCTGGACAAAGTTGTGGAGTCATTTGTATATGGTGGTTTCATCAACCTCTGGTTTTTATAAATATGTTTCAAGTGGTATATTATCTCATTAGTGTAGAATCTGTTGCACCGAGTAGTGGTTGTTCTTTAACATTTGTTTTCATTAGGTTTTGGTGATGCAAAACATGCTTCATCAAGTAGAACTATGGAATAGTTTATATCAAGTAGTGTGACAAAATCATCTGGGTAATATAGAAAGCTCAAGTAGTGTAAAATATTACATCAAGTGAAAAATTTAATTTATTTCATCAAAAAATGGTTGCCTACATTCTGGATCAAATACTAATATCTTAGAACCTGCATCAGGTAGTACTTCATAATAATCAACATATATTTTAATAAATCAAAAAAGAAATTTAAAAAAAAATAAAAAAATAAAAAATATAAAACTTTTTAGTTTTATTTATCACAAACTATAATAATTGTATATTTATTTGATTATTGGAATTATTTAAATTTAGTATTTATTTATAACTAAAGTAGTTCCATCTTTATTTCAATTTTATTTAAATTAATAAATAAATAAAAAGTAAAATTAAAAATGAAAGAGATGGTAATAATTTAAATGAGTTATTAACATCACATTTTAACTGTGATAAAATTGCAGCATGTTCACCACAACCATCATACTTAGTATTTATAAGATAGTAATCACAATATTCCTTGGCACAGTTGGTTGTAATACAACCTTTAGAAGCTAATGGAACTCCTAAACTACATTCATTAGTTAAGGCACATGTGAATAAATCGGTAACAACTTTACGATCATTTGAACTAACAAGTTGATATTCGTAACATTTACCACATACACAACTGGATTCAGCAGAGGTGCCATTAAGATGGGCATTACATTGAATTGAAGTATCACATGATTCAATATCTGGTTTAATGTAGCTATAAACTTGACATTTCTTATTTATATTGTTACACTAAAAATATTTTAAAAATATTAATGCTCATTATTAATTGTTTCATAATATTTATATTTTATAAAATACATACATATAAGTTCTTTGAGCTATCACATTGATAATCATTATCACCTGCATTGCAATATTCACCTTCTTGAAGAGAGAAATACTTTTTACAAATACCATCATCACTTCCAGCAGGGGCTGAACAGAAACCTTCAAGATTATTGCAGGTACCACCATTTGTTTTACAACCTGATCCTAATTTAGCTGGTAATTGACAAATCTTATTAACACAAATTTGTGTAGCCATTTCGCAATCCATATCTTCCACACAACCATTTACATTTTTACGAGGAGTACATTTATTATTTACACAAGATGACAACTCTGACATACAATCGATATCTTTTGCACATTTCTCTCCATTTCTTTATTAATAGATAATGGTGTTAGTAATGATTTAATTTACCCATATATTATAATAATAGTTATACCTACAAAGCATATTTTATTTCGGAACAAACTCCTTTAGTGTCATTTGAATTTTTTTTATAACAGTATATGCCGATGTAACAATTATCATCTACAAAGCAGGGTTCCCCAACATTTACTCTATTGACACAAATGGATTGGTCGTTAGAAGATGCGGTCCCTGGTGTTCCACAATATCCAGCACCTTGACAAATTTCACCATGTTTACATGTATCTCCGATTGGTATACAGTTACAATTTGCGTTTATATAATTAATTGTTAATAAAATTAGAATTAATGAATAAAAAAATTTCATTTTTTTTTTTGCTATTAAAGACAGATTTAAAATTGTTTTTTAAAAAAAAATTGTTTTTTTATCAAAAAAAAAAAATGTTTTTTTACCAAAAAAAAAAATTGATTTTTTACCAAAAAAAAAATTGATTTTTTTATCAAAAAAAAAAATTTAAATTTAAAAAAACAACACAAAAACATATTTAAAAAAAACCCACTTTTTGGGTAACATTATTTGGTTTTTATTTTTATTTTTTTTAATTATTATATAACTTCACTTGAAATTTTAATATTTTTATATGAGTTTTCAAATTTTTAGTTTCTTTTTTCATTAGTTTTAAAAAAAGTAAAAATAGATGAACTGTTGGGTATCAGTTTTAAGTTTTTTATTTTTTTTTATTTTTTATATCTTCATTAGTTTTAAAAAGTAAAAATAGTGCACTGTTTGGGTGTCTATTGAGTAAAACTAATAAATTATATTTTATTTAAAATAATAAATAAATAAAAAGTAAAATTAAAAATGAAAGAGATGGTAATAATTTAAATGAGTTATTAACATCACATTTTAAATGTGATAAATGCGCTGCTAGTCCACCACAACTATCAAACTTGGAACGTATGAGATAGTAAGCACAATATTCTTTGAAACATTTGGTTGCCAAACAGCCTTTAGAAGTAAATGGAATACTGAAACTACATTCATTAGTTAAGGCACATGTAAATAAATCGGTAATAACTTTACGATCATATGAACTAACAAGTTGAATTTCGTAACATTTACCACATGCACAAATGGATTCAGCAGTTGTACCATTAAGATGGGCATTGCATTGATATAAACCATCACATGATTCAATATTTGGTTTAATGTAACTATAAACTTGACATTTCTTATTTATATTGTTACACTAAAAATATTTTAAAAATATAAATACTCATTATTACTTGTTTCATAATATTTATATTTTATAAAATACATACATATAAGTTCTTTGAGCTATCACATTGATATTCCTTATAATCATAATCAAAATAGCAATATTCACCTTCTTGAAGAGAGAAATGCTTTTTACAAATACCATCATTACCTCCATCAGGGGATGCACAGAAACCTTCAAGTCTATTGCAGGTATCTCCTCTTTTTGTACAAGCTGATCCTAATTTAGCTGGTAATTGGCAAATCTTATTAACACAAATTTGTGAAGCCAATTCGCAATCCATATCATCTTCACAACCATTTACATTTTTACGAAGAGTACATTTATTATTTACACAAGATGACAACTCTGACATACAATCGATATCTTTTGCACATTTCTCCCCATTTCTTTTATTAAAAGATAATGGTGTTAGTATTAATTTAATTTACCCATTTATTATAATAATAATAAAACTTACAAAGCATATTTTATTTCGGAACAAACTCCTTTAGTGTCATTTGAATTTTTTTTATAACAGTATAAGCCGATATAACAACTATCATTTACAAAGCATGGTTCCCCAACATTTACTCTATTGACACAAATGGATTGGTTGTTAGAAGTTTCAGTCCCTGGTGTTCCACAATATCCAAAATTTTGACAACTTTCACCATTTTTTTCACATGGTTCCCCAATTGGTATACAATCGCAATTTGCGTTAATATAATTAAATGTTAATAAAATTAGAATTAATGAATAAAAAAATTTCATTTTTTTTTTTGTTATTAATATAAAATATGTATAATATGTTAAATCACAAAAATTCAATTTTTATAAAAAAAAAAAAATTTTCATTAAAAAAAAAAAAACAAAACAAAAACTTATTTACAAAACCCACTTTTTGGGTACCATTAATTGGTGATTATTTTTTTTTAATTATTATTTAACATTACTTGAAATATTAATATTTTTTTTATATGTATTTTATCTCCATTTTTTGTTTTTTTAGTTTCATTAGTTTTAAAAAAAAGTAAAAATAGATGCATTGTTGGGGTGTCTATTTTTTTCTATTTTTAGTTTTTTTTTTTGTTTTTCTGTATCTTCATTAATTTTAAAAAGTAAAAATAGTGCATTTTTGGGGTGTCTGTTGGGAGTATCTGTTGGGTAAAACCAATAAATTATTTTTATTTAAAATAATAAATAAATAAAAAGTAAAATTAAAAATGAAAGAGATGGTAATAATTTAAATGAGTTATTAACATCACAATTTAACTGTGATAAAACGGCTGTATATCCACCACAACCATCAAACTTGGTATTTAAACGATTGTAATCACAAAATTCTTTGGCACATTTGGTTCTAATGCAACCTTTAGCAGTAATTGCAGAATGTAAACCACATTTATTAATTGAGGCACATGTGAATAAATCGGTAATAATTTGACGCTCATTTGAACTAACAAGTTGGTATTCGATACATCTACCACAACCACAAATGGATTCAGCAGATGTACCATTAAGATGGGCATTGCATTGATTTGAACTATCACATGATTCAATATCTGGTTTAATGAAACTATAAACTTGACATTTCTTATTTATATTATTACACTTAAAATAATTTAAAATATTAATACTCATTATTAATTGTTTTATAATATTTATATTTTAAAAAATACATACATATAAGTTCTTTGTGTTATCACATTGATAATCATAATCACCTGAATAACAATATTCACCTTCTTGAAGAGAGAAATACTTTTTACAAATACCATCATCACTTCCAGCAGGGGCTGCACAGAAACCTTCAAGTTTATTGCAGGTACTATCTCTTGCTTTACAAGCTGATCCCAATTTTGTTGGTGATTGGCATGTACTATTAACACAAATTTCTAAACCCATATCGCAATCTATATCTTCACCACAGACATCTACATGTCTATTAAGAGTACATATATTATTTACACAAGATGATAAATCTGACATACAATCAAGTTTTTTTTCGCATGGTTCTCCAATTCTTTTATTAATAGATAATGGTGATTGTATTAATTTAATTTATCTATTTATTATAATTATTATTATTATTATTATTATATTTATACCTACAAAGCATATTTTATTTCCGAACAAACTCCTTTGGTGTCATTTGAATTTATTTTATAACAAGATAAGCCTACATAACAATTATCTTCTACAAAGCATGGCTCTCCAACATCTACTCTACTAACACAAATCGATTGGCTGTTAGAAGATGCGGTCCCTGGTGTTCCACAAAATCCCATGTCTTGACAAATCTCACCATCTTTACATGTTTCTCCGATTGGTATACAATTACAATTTGCGTTAATATAATTAATTGTAAATAAAATTAGAATCAATGAATAAAAAATTTTCATTTATGTTATAAATATATATATAATATGTTAAATCTGTTTTAAAAATTGTTTTGTAAAAAAAAAAATTTTAAATAAAAAAAATATTTCACAAAAAAATGTTTAAAAAAACCAAATATTGGGTATCAAAAATTGGTGATCAAAGATATTTTTTTTTTTTTAATATAAGATATTTTATAGAAACTCATTATCATAATGCAATTGTGGATTGAAATAAGTATATTTATTTATAAATATAAATATAGTGAATGAAATATATGAATTAAACCACTCACACAAATAAAATAAAAATAATATTTTTTTTTTTTTAAAAATAAAAATAATTTTTTTTTTTAATTTCAAAAAATAATATTATTTTTTTTTTTTTATTTATAAATAAAATTTTAATTTAGTTTTAATAATATGAAAAATAAATATTTCCTTTGTATAAAAGTAAATAGTAGTGATATAAAAAGCAAAGTAAAATCAATTGTAAATGCAATTAAATGTGAAAATAATCAAAATTTTAATAACAATTTAATAAACGAAGGCGAGTATCATATTACATTAGTATTATTTTATGCGGAAGAAAATGAAATTGATAACATTAAAACAATCATAGAAAACACAATCAACAAATTTACTCAATTTTCTGATGATCCTGAAACCTCAAACAAGTGTCTCCAATTTAATTTAAAAGGATTGGTGCAATTGGGTGATATAAATATAGTAGCGGCTTTACAAGATGATGAAAATAAATTAATATTACTAAAATTTATAAATTTTATTAAAGATCAATTAGATTATTATACCAACCATCAAATTCAACTAATAGACGAGAAAACTTGGATACCACATATGACACTATTAAAATATATGGATTCAAATAATACAAATAAAATAGAATTAAAAAATGATATTTCTAAATTCCTTAATTATAATAAGGAATATAACAATTTCCCATTAGGCTATCAAAAAACATATTCAATAGATTTAATTCAATCTGGTTTACCAAGAGATTCAACAGGTTATTATAGTATTAAATTTAATTTACCATTTAATAATTAAATAATAATAGTAATTTCAAAATAACACACAATAATAGTATTGTAAATATTTTAAAAAATAATTAAATTTAAATAAAATAATAAACCAATAAATTTGTTTAAAACAATTCGAAATATTATGACTATTCTATCTATATAATATTATGATAGAATTATAATAAATATATTCTTTTATTTACTTTTATTTTTTAAAAAAAATAACTTTTTTTATTTTTTTTTTTATTTATTTGTAAACCAACCAATAAAAATTATTTTATTTATTTTAAATTATTTATAATATATATTTTTTATAAATTATAAATTTAAAATCTATTTTATTTTTTTTTAATTATTCATTTAAATTCTATTAAAAAAACAAATGAAATTTTTTATATCAATTTTATTAGTACTATTATTTTTCAGTAATTATTTTATAAATTGTGAAAAAATATGTTTAGGGTATTATAATGAAGAAAGAGGAAAACTACTATTTGGTAATCAATTTGAAGCAAATTATACCTATGTTAAAATTGGATCAACAGTTACAATGACAATTAATAGTTTTTTAGTGGATGACTATTTAAATTTCGAAGGTGTTAAATCTCTAAGTGCAGTTTTTAATTGTGGTAAAAATAGACATTGTAATACAAACGAAAATGGAATAGGTTTTGTGACTACTGGTTATTGTTATACCAACCAACAACAAATGTTAATATCATACTATTATTTTAAAAACCAATATATCTACATTCAATTATTATCACCAAACTTATCGAAATGTAATAAATTTCAAGTTTTTGGCACAACATTAGTTTGGAATGTTAATCAAGAAGAAGAAGAAAATAACAATGATAAAAGCGATGAAGATTCTGATGACTCTTCATTTGACCCAAATAAATTAATAAATTAATAAAATTGTTTTAATTTTTTTTATTTTTAATTTTAATTTTAATTTTTTTTTATATTAATAAATAAATAAATAATGCTGATTGACTTTTCCATTTTATACTATTATATTATACTTTTTTATAAATATAAAAATATTAGTTATTATCAGATTTAAAACTATTTGAAAGTCTTTGAGTAAAAGATTTTCTATTGGTATAGGAGGTTGATAATGATGTTGAAAATTGTGATTGTTGGTTAGCTTCCTCTTCTAAAACTGTACTTTCTAAAGTTATACCATTTGTGCTATTTCTTGAACCATTTCTGCTATGAGATTTTGATGGTGTGTTTGGTGAACCGTTGCTATTATTAATAGATTGTGATAATGGAGTTAATTGAATAGTTGGAGTACCACTATTAGAGTTACTATTACTATTGATGGTTTGTGGACTATATGATCCCTCTGGTGGATTTACTCCAAATGTTTCCATTAACTCTACTAATTGTATATAACCTTGTTCCATTTCCTCTTGGAATTCTTGTGAAGATTGATTTTCGACTAAACTTTTATTAATAAACAATGCCTCAGCACAACTACCTAAAAATACTGATAATGATTTCTTTAGTTTTTTTATTTGTTCTTGTGGATAAATTGATCCACTTGAAGTTGTTGGTGGTGGTTGATCATTAGCTGAATTGACTGGTTGAAGGAATATTCTACAAATTTCTTGAGGACCTAAAATGAATAAAAATAACTATATTAATATTTTATAAAATAACTGCATGGATACTCTTAATGTATTATAATACATACCTGAATTTACTTGCAATCTTAATGTACCCTGTAAAACTTGTTGTAAAGTTTTTGGATTTGGATTTTTTGATTTAACTTCATTTAATAAGGTTTCGGTTCTAGTTTCGATAGCTTCAATTGAATTTTCGATTGGTGAAATAATAATTTCATTTTTTCCAGTGACTTGAATTCTTTTTTTAGTATATGGGAAATAATTTTGTACAGTAAGAATAGTCTTTCTCTTATATTGATCAGCTACGGAATTTGCACGACCAGCACCAGTTTCGGTGAATGGAGTTTCAAAAATAAATCTATTTAGGTTTACAGTTTTATCGAATGGAGTTCTTCTTGTTTGTAAATCCTCTTCGGTGAAATATGGTAATACAGATGTAATTTGAAGATAAACTTTGTTATTGTCGTTACTTTGTTGTAAAATTGAATTTGTATCAACTTGAGACCCTTCTATTATTACAATTGAATCTTCGCTAACATTTAATTTCTTAGCATATAATGATTTAAGACGATCTTTAATTTCGACAAGACGGGTAATCTTTGGCTCCTTATAAATAAACTCTTTGCCACTATATTCGTCAAATGATTTACCATAAAGACCTACACGATAATATGAGCCAAGCATACGAGATTGAGTTTTTGTGCATTCGACAATCTTTTTGAAAATATCTTGCAAATCACCATGGGAACGTGCTAACTCCTCATAATTTAAGTGATGTTCGTGAACTGGAATTAATAATTTATAAACAAGATTTGCTACTTCAAAGTAATCAGCTTGTTTTAATAATAAAATTGCCTCTTGAATTAACTTCATGAAAAAGTCTAGAGTGAACGATTGGTTGTCATCTGCGCCATCTTCCTCACGTTCGATATAGGTGTGACTTTCTTCAAGTGAATTCTTATTAATACCCATGAAATTGCTACTACCCTGAATAGTAGGAATTGGTTTGCCAATTAATGAAAGATACTCTGCTACTAATGATGACATATGTAAATAACATTGAGCGGCTTCAACATAGTTTTCTTGAGTACGGTGGAAATCTGCAAGACCTTGTAACCAACAAATTCTGGTATCAGCATTACTCTTATTGTTATCTGCAATACGATGATAGAGATCAGCTACCATTTCTGGATCGTCACGATGATTATTGATTTTTATATTATCAATTACAAATGTATGTAAACGTTTAGTGAGATCTTCGATTTGTTTGCTAAATGATTTGGTACCTGCTTTATCGGCTTGAGCTGCAGCATAAGCATTAATTGTGTCAAGAGATTTCTTGAGGAAATAATCATCTTTAATACTTTTAACAATAGTGGAAAGACCAATAGTAACTTGGGTTTTAGTTCTAACAAAATTCTTTCTGGTTTGTTCGAAATTCTTTCTAAAGAGAATATAAGTGAAAGCAGAAGCTTCTTCACGAGTTACACCATTAACAGAATTACAATGACGAATGACAGCGTTACAAAGATCTAAACAGAACGAATTATTACTTTCAAATAATAATTTGGGGAATCTATAGATGAATTGTCTTAATGTAGCATAAAGTTTTGGAACTAAAAGTACTGGTTGATTCTTTTTTAACATTGAATTTAAAAGAGTAAAGATCTTTTCAATAACATCAAAGTAATGAACAGTCTTTAAATCTCTTTCATATTCATACATGAATTCATCGGCAATGTCTAAAATAACTGATCCAACCTCTAATGCTAAATGACTTTCCAAACGATCATCATAATCTGATACGTTGATTTTATTTTGGGCTGCAATAGTACCCTTCATTCTTTTTTCATTTCTTAGTGTGCTATTATAACCACTGCCACCACCACCTGATGTTGTTGAAATTCCACTACCACTTCCAGTGCTACTAACACTATCAGCTAAACCACCTCGTGAAAATGAACTTGAAATACTTGTATTGCTCGAGCTTGAAACCAACGATGATGGTGAATTGCTACTACCTAATGTCGAAGATCTACTGTCACTTACTGGACTACCCCCTACCATACTTGAGCTTAAACCTCCACCACTATAACTATCTAAAACACTCTTACGACTATCAACACGTTTTTCACGTAATGATCTGTTATAAAGTTTCTTGCTACCAAATGGTGAATTTCTAGAATTTGAATAAAAATCTTCTAAAATCGATTTAGCTGTAGAGGTACGAAGTGATGTTGATGATTCTACCTTATCCATTAAAATATCTTTACCAACAAATTCAAATATCTCTGAGCATTGATTTAAAATATCAAATAGAGTGACGTGCTTTGCCTTTGGCTCTTCTCTCCACCAAATTTTGATAAGGTTTGGATGAATAGTCTTTAATAAGTAGATGAATGATATTAAAATATTTCTCTTCATTATGAATGAATCGTCTTTGATATTGTCCCAATGGTTGACTATAATTGAGAGATATGGTGTGAAAACACCAACAATTCTTTGTTTATTTGAAGTTTCAGGCCATCTAGTATCCATTTCTAAACGTGTTAAAGTATCTCTAAGAGCATTAGCAGCATCCATACGAATTAATGCGATTTTACTTGCAATACCACTTGAAATATTATGTAAAAGTAAATCTGATAAAAAGTGTTTGGAAGTTGATAAAGTTTGTTGTAATTTTAAGTTGGTATCAATACGGAATGGAAGTGGAATATTAAGTTGAACGAAATAATCATTTTGGCAAATGATACGAAGGAATTCGAATTTCAATTCACAAAGCTCCATTTCATTCTCTCCATTTGAATTATTTGAGAAATCAACAACTGCTCTATCGATAATTTTAAATACATAACCTCTGTCAGCAATTGAAAGTAATTGAGAGATGAATGAAGCTAAGCCTCTAATTAATTCTTTAGCCAATTTGAATGTATGTTTTGCACGAGTTGAAGACTCCCATCTTAAGATACTGATAAGTTTAGCTAATTGTGGTCTTACACCTACAAATCTACCCTTTCTTGTTTTATTTTCTTCACGTTTGCCTCTTTCGATCAATGATAATGCCATAGATTTATAAATTACTGAAAAGAAGAATCTAGAGAAACGAAGAATATTTTCTGAATTTTGCTCTTGGAATCTGACTAATTCTAACCAAGTTTTAATTAAAACCTCGTACACTGGTAAAGTTGATCCGTCATTATTTTCGCAATTTGAAAATACATATTTAACGTAACGTTCAAAAATAGAGCTTGATGCATCATTGACCATTGAAAGGATCTCACCAATTGTTATAAATGTCACCATTGAAAGTTCAGATGAATGATTTTGATTGGTCATTAATCTAAATAATTGATTCATAATAATTGGGAAAAATTGTACAATACATTCCATTTTGCTTGATGGTAATAATTTTATGCTCTTAATTAATTGCTCTAAAATGTTATTTGATGGAGTTGGTGCCGGTGGTGTAGAGGAATTTGATGATACTGATTGTGTTAAATTAGCTTGTGATGGCTGTTGTTGTAATGTTGAAGCGGTGGTAGTAGCGGTAGTTTGTGGATTAGATAATGACTGAGAAAGTGGTGAAGTTGGTAAAGATGAATTTGAAATTGGTGGACTTGTTGGAACTGAGCCACCGCTACTATTTAAACAATTATTTATAAATGAAAATTGTGAAATATTATTAAAGAAATTATTTAAATAATCATCTGTACTATGAATGCTAGAAACTAATTTAGAACGTACTTGGAAAATTGGTTTCTTATTATCGATATATTTAATGTGTGCTTCTTGATCACGTCTATTATAACGAGATGGGAATTCATAAGCCAATGGAATATTAAATACTTCGTCACCAATTAATTTGCCAAATTGAATAATTGGTAAAACACCATAAGCAACAGGGTGATCTACTAAATCACTCTTATCGCTACTCTTTTGACATGCAATATGGTAGAATGTAAAGAGAATGTGAAGTGATGGTGATGGAGATAATGGTAATCTAATTTTAACTTCATCATTGAATACTGGGCTTTTTGAATGATATGTAACTTGAGTATAGGCCTTGTTAACAAATGCTTGATTTTTACTTTTACCATAAATTGCTTTTAAACCTTCTGGACACAATGGATTTTCATCGGTTTCCAATAATTGAATTTTACATGTTAAATTACGAGCAGCAAATGATCCTGAACGATTTGATAAATTTAATATTTCGGGATAAATATATAAATTATTTACAAACTCGGTATTAATTTCAACTTTTGATGATGATGTAAATTCTTGACTTTCTTTAAATACATTTTCAATTAAAGTATTTTCTGGAATTTTACCAGGTAATAATATTGGATTTGTCGTTGTGTTATTGTTATTATTGTTATTATTATTTGTATTAATATTATTAACTTTTACTAATGAACTATTTAAAATATATTTATTATTATATGGTGAATCATTATCATTTGGTTTAATTTCTTTAACATCGATTATACATTGACCTGGTATAATTTTTAATTTTTTAGTTGAAGCACTTTTAGAACCTTCAGAAAGAGTTGAATCTAACATTGCTGAATCAGTCATTTCAGAACGATGACGGTATAATGGACGGATAGGAGTATCTTCTGCAACACCTTCTTCAAAGAGTGGGATACAGCCCCAACAAAAAGCCTGTCTAAATTGGCCAAGTCTTTGACAATGAGATTTGATGGATTCTTTGAATTTTTCTTTTTCTTTTTCCTTTAAATTCATTTTTATATATGGCTCTGAATGATCATCTAAATTACCACTGAGTACCTTTTCAACCTTGAGAATTAAATAAATATTCTCCAAGTCTGAACTTGATCTAGAGGCAACAGAAAAGATTGTAGATTTGGCTTGTGATACTTCATCAACAACAGTTGCACCCAAGAAAGCATTGTTTAGCATTTTAAATGATTTATCATTAACAAAATCGAAATAAAAGCTTTCAGATAATCTAGTTTTCTTTTGGATATCATACAAGTACATTGAACAAAAGAATGGTTCTGGTTCGTCATCTTTTTCCCAAAATTTAAATGATAAATCTTTAACAGTAACTTGAATAATTCTTTTCTTTTCTTTTTGATAGGGAGTTGGTTCGTGATATTGTACTGGTGGTTCATAAAGGGTAAAATATGAATATAATGAAAGATCTGTTGCTGGTGTACCATCTTCATTTGGTGTATTATTATTTAATGAAACTTTTTCTTTTCTAAACTGTCTCTCCAAATAATTTAAATGTAATTGATCTGGTCTATCAGTTTTAAGTGTATTTTGAATTTGAAATTGATGTTGTTGTGATAAATATGTAATCTCTTTTAGATTTTGTTGAATTTGTAATTGTTGTTGTTGTTGTAGTGTAGATTGTTGTTGTTGTAGTGTAGATTGTAGTTGTTGTGATGACTGTGAAATACTAATACTAATATTACTATTTAAATTATTAATTGTTACAATTGGTTCAGTTTTAAACTCGACCCTTTCTTCTGTTAATGATGTTACAACTGCTCCTGGTGTTTCGTCTTTATAATAATTAAATGTCTTTAATGATTTCCAATTGTTCATTGAATAAAACCTAATACAATCATCAATATGTTGATTTTTATTTTCTTTATAATCCTATTTTTGAAATAAAAGAAACAATTAGTATATATACTTTTAATTAAAAATATGATAACATAATGAATATTTACAAATGGGTTTGATGAAATTCTATTTTCTTTTGGTAAATTTTCAATTTGATTTTGAACAGTATCATCTGGTATTGTAACTAACTCCCTTGAAATTTCCCTGTTGATTTCCTTTGATTCATAATAATATCTTTCAAAGTCAAATGGATAATCCTCTTCCTTTTCTATTTCATCCTCTAAAAGAATTGATGGAATTTGTCTTGTGTTTCTCTTATTATATGACTCTGTGTATTGTGCCAAGTCGTGGTTTGAGTTTGATTGTGTAAGACTATTACCATTATTTCCGTTTGTAGTTAATGAAGATAGAGATGAGGTGGATGTGTTGGCTTGTGTCGTTGATGCCCCATTAAGTGTGTTGCTCTGTTGCATACTCGAAGTTAAACTTAAACTACTGCTAGTAGACTTTCTACTTTTTATAAATGTTGATATTTTTTTACCTTCCATTTTTTTTAAATTAAAAAAATTAAATTAAAAAGATAAAAAAAAAATAAAAAAAAGATAAAAATAAATTATTTTTTAAAAAAAAAAATAAAAAAATAAATAATTTTATCTAATTTAAAATGCTTATTTTATGGTTATTTATGTTTATTTTAAATATTTAATGTTGTTTTTATTATTATTGTTACACTATTTTACAATTATAAATTATTAATAAAATGCTATTATTTGTAGTAGTGTATAAATAAATTGGTTACTAAATTTAGAAATACACTTTGGTACATATAATTTTTTTAATTATAAAATTTTTTTAAATTAGACATATATAATAATAACAAAATAAAAAAATTTAAAAAAAATTAAAAATAATAAAAAAAAAAAAAAAAAATCAAAAAAAAAAAAAAAAAAATCAAAAAAAAAAAAAAAAAAATCAAAAAAAAAAAAAAAAAGTTTTAAATGAAAAAAAAGAAAAATTGGGTTTTTTAAATTATTTTGAATAAAATGGAACAAAAAAATATAAATTATCACAAATAAATACATATACTTTTTATTTTCAATCCAAATGCACATTACTAAACAAATAATTAAACTAAAAAATACAATGGATTAATTTAAATAGTATTGATTGGTATTCATTATAATAATATTATTATAGTATCCCTTTTTCTGTTTATTAGAATTAATATTTTGCAAATATAAAATCACTTTAAAATAAAAAATGAAAAAAAAAAATACAAAAACAACAAAACCAAATATATTTTCAAAAAATATTTCTTAAATAATATCTATAATAAAAATCAATTCCCCAATTTAATTTTTCGTTTTTAAAAACAAGGGTGTGTGAGTTTGAAACACTTTCAAAAAAAAAAATTTATTCATATTTGGCTCTTAAAAAAATAGAAATAGTACACATCATGTTTTAAATATCTCAAAAAAAAAAAAAAAAAAAAAAACGTATTTAAAACTATTTTTTTTTATATTTTTTTTTTTTTTTTTATTTTTATTTTTTTTTATTTTTTTTTTTTTTTCTTATCAATTTTTTTTTTTCCACACACATTTATATCACAATTTATTTTTTCACATTAAATTATTATTTATTTATATCTTTAACTAATTAATAATTAAATTCTTTTGTTTTTTTTATTTGTAATAATACTATTTATAAAAAAAATAAAATAAAAAATTTTTTTAAAAAAAAAAAAAATTTAGATTTTTTTTTTTTGGTGTTTGTGTGTAAAAATTAAAAAAAGATTGTGTGTTAATTTTTTTAAAATTTTTTTTATTTTTTTTATTTGTTAAAATCAACATTATAAGTCATAATGTCAAATTTTCAAGTAAAGGTAGAAGGTGATCCAAATCTTGCTATGCAAGCTGGATTTTTTGGTGGCCCAAACATGACAGTTACAGAAAGCCATCATGGTCATCACCACAACAGTTCAGAAGTTTCATTTAATGGTGGCTTTGGTATGCCATCAATGACTATGGAAGTTAATGAAACTCACGGTCACCATCACCATCACAGCAATAACACCGCTGAAGTTTCATTCAACAATGGTTTTGGTCCATCAATGACTATGGAAGTAAAAGAAACTCATCATGGTCACCACAGCCATCACAGCCATCACAATAGTGGTAATGCTGAAGTTTCATTCAACAGTAACTTTGGTATGCCATCTATGAATGTTTCAGTCAGCGACTCCCATCACGGTCACTACAATGGAGGTTCAGCACAAGTCGATCTTAATTTAGGTGGTGTTGTCGCAGCCGTTAATGCTGTTAGCAGTGTTGTTGGTGCCGTTGTTGGTCAAGCCATTGTTATTGATACACGTAATCGTATCTGGGTTCAATTAAATCAAGCATCATACATTGGTGGTGATGTTGTTAGTGGTACCGTTGAAATGGACTGTGTTGTTCCATTCTTTGCTAAAGGTGTTATTGTTAAAGTTAAAGGTTTTGAAAGATTATGGCTTCAAGAACTTCGTACCGAAACTGAAGGTGAAGGTTCAAATAAACGTACTGTCTTAAAAACCATTGACCATAAGGAAAATAAAGAATTTTTCAAATCAGTAAGTATTGGAAATTGATTAAAGAAGAAAATGTTGTGGCCAATATACTAATATTATTTTTGCTAAAATAAAGACTATTACAGTTTATCCACAATCAGGTATGGTTAATAGCGGTCATTATAGTTTCCCATTCTCATATCAATTACCAGCAGATTTACCAGGTACTTTTTGTCATGATGGTAAAGATGAAAATGGTGCTTACAGCGCTAAAATTTTATATAAAGTCAAAGCTACAGTCGATGTTGCCCATAAACATGATTTAAAATTCACCTCAAAATTAGTCATTAATGAAAGATGTGGCGAATTAGTTAAACCATCATTTGCAGAAAATAAGAAATCATTCATGTTAACCAAAGGTAAACTCCACGTAAAGACCTGGTTAGACAAGAATGCCTACTTCCCAGGTGAAACTTTAATTGCCAAAGTTAAAGCCAACAATACATCCATTAAACCAACTAGAAAGATGTCCCTTAGAGTTTTCCACAAAATGTTCCTTAAAACTCGTCTCTACCATCGTTACATTAATAACTATGTCTATAAACAAGATTACGACGGTTTCCAACCATGTTTCTATGGTAAACGTTATCTCCCATTCAATATTCCAGTAGATTTAAAACCATCATCATCTTTAGGTAAACACATCACCAGTAGTTACATACTTGAATTAGAATGTGATATTCCAATGGCTATCGATTTACAAGTTGCCTTACCACTTACCTTATTTGCTCCACAATTCCTTTACTCAACTGTACCATCACAACCACCAGGTTGTCCATTACCACCAGATGTTCAATACCGTCATCCATGGGAAAACGATGATAATCAAACATCATGTCGTAAATGTAATAAAGGTTTTGGTTTATTCGCTCGTAAACATCATTGTCGTCACTGTATGAAAATCTTTTGTGATAAATGTACCTCAACCAAAACTCCAATCACAAAATTAGCTTATCCAAAACCAGTTCGTGTTTGTGAAGAGTGTTTCCCAGTAGCCTCACAAGGTGGTCAAAAATACCAATCTGCTAAAGTAATGGCCCAAAACTATAAACAACAAATAGATGCCTATTATGCTCAATATTCATATATTTATAACCAACAAGTCCCATCTGCTCCACCACCACAATAAAAATTTTAATATAAACCTTTAAAATTGAAAAAATAAAACAAATAAAAAAAAATATAAAAAAAAAAAAAATACAAAGTTTTATTTTTATTTCTATTTATTTATTTTATAAAACAAAAATATATTTATATTTATTATATTTATTATATTTAAAATTATGGAACAACAATGACTGGAATTGGAGAGTTTTTAACAATCTTTTCACTAAAACTGCCCAAAATCATCTTTTTTATAAACCCATTACCTCTTGTACCAACAACTACTAAATCTGGCTTTTTATCTTTAATAGCATCAATAATATCATCCATACTTGCTTTAACTACATTAATATATTCCCAATTTAATTTCTCTGGCTGTAAAAAAATAATAAAAATTAATATCTCTTTTAATTGTTATTGTTTCCTTATAATTTATACATACAAACGATTTTTCACATTTATCGGCATAATGTTTTTTTAAATCGTTTGCTTTTTCTTGTTCTTCAATATTTGAAATTTTATCTAAATTATCTGAAATTGGATTTAAAAGGGATGGTGTTTCAATATGGTGTGTAAAATGCATTAAAGTTACTCTATCACCATGATTTGCATCAACCATTTTATTTTTTAAAAATTGAAATGCCCTATTACAATTTTCTGAACCATCAACACATAGTAAATAATGTACCATTTTTTTATTATTGTTTTATTATTTTATTATTATTATAAAAACTTTTCTAATATCTATAAAGAAATAACATAAATAATTATTATGAAAAGTAAAAAAGAAATTTTTTTTAATATTAAAAAAAATAAAAAAATAAAAAAATAAAAAAATTTTAAAAAATAAAATATTATTTTAATTATTATAAAATATCAATGAGGAACGATCGAATTTAATTGAAATTTAAAAATAATTTTATTTTTAGATGAAAAACCCTAAAATAAATATTCTATTTTAAAATAAAGTTTATTTATTGATGGAAAACTTAATGATTTAATTTACTTTTTTTTTTAATAAAAAAAATAAATCAAAGTGCAAATTAAATAAATAGTTTTATTAATATTTTTTTTTAAAATATCATTATTAAATAGTATTACATATATTTAGGTTGTACTACTAATATTTGTAAGGGTTATTAAAGGTACGAGTGATAAAATTGAATGAATTAAAAAAAAAAATTTAAAAAAATTAAAATAAATATTTTGTTTATTTTTTTTGTTGAAAAATGCAGATCACGATTTTTTTTGATAATTTTTTTTTCTTTTTTTTTTTTTTATTAATTTTGCAAAACCCTTTTACTTTTTGTATAAATTATTTTAGATCAACTGTATTTATCTATGTAAAAGTTTTTTTGTATTGTATTGTTGTTTTTATATATTTTATTCATTATTATGGTAATAATGAAGGTTTCTAGTACTTTAAATGTAAAAAAGAAAATTAAAAAATTAAAGTATGTAATATAGTTTTATAATACTATTTATTATAAAAAAATAAATTATTATTAATTATTAATTTATAATTATTAATTATTCTTTTTTTTTTTATTTTTTTCCAATTAATTTAATTTAATTTTTTATTTTTTTATTTTTTTTTTTTTAAATTTTTTTATTTTTTTATATTATTTTTTTATTTTTTTCTGTTTTCTGTTTTTTGTTTATTTCATTTATTTCATCATTGTTTGTATGTGTATATATTATTAATATTAAATTATGTCATCTGAAAGTGGGTTTGATTATTTTAGAACTTTGGTTAGTGGAAGAAAGAAAAGGTTTATCCAAGATGGATTTAATTTGGACCTAAGCTATATTACAGAAAAGATATTGGCTATGGGGTATCCTGCCGATAGTATTCACAAGGCGTTTAGAAATGATATTAATGATGTTTATAATTTTTTTGAAAAATATCATTCTGGTCATTGGAAGGTAATATTTTTTAAAAATAAAAGTGTATGTTTTTAATTTGCGAACTAACATTAATTATATTTTATATTATGTATAGATATTAAATGTTGCAATGGAAATATCATATAAAACAACAAAGGTTGGAGGAAATGTTATTGTCATGGGATTTGAAGATCACACACCACCACCATTTTTATTATTGCTACAAATTATACAGGTTATGGATACATGGTTAAATAAAGATGAAGCAAATGTTATGGCAGTTCATTGTAAAGCTGGGAAAGGTAGAACTGGTACTGTAATTTCAGCATATTTAATTCACTTAATGAAACAAAACACACCAGAAATCTTTTATTCATCCGATACTATATTATTCAATACCATTTCATTTTTTAATAGTATGCGTGCAAATAATAGTGAATGTGTCACTGTGCCCTCTCAAAAGCGTTATGTTGGATATTATATACAATATCTCCGTGACCAGGTTCCACATTCATTAATAGTGAGTCCCCCAAAATTTAAAATTGTTAGTATTGATGTAATTGGCACCTCTCAAAGCTTTAATATTGAAATTCACTTAAACTATAGTCCAACTGTAAGAGATTTGCCAGTAGTAATACGGGGCTCCAATTCTAAAATTTTGTAAGTACCTTTAAATTAATTTTAAATAATATTAATACTAATTTTTTTTATTTATCAGGAATTATTCAGGTTTCAATAGATATTTGGTATCAGAAAGAAATATAGTTACAACAGGTGATACAAAAATTAAATTTAACAGTCTTGATTCACATCAATGTATAACTAGATTATTATATCACACAGCCTTTTTACCAATTGGAAATGATGCAGAAAATCCTAATCAAACAATATTATTTTTCCAAAAGGATAATTTAGATGGTGGAAATGGTGGTTGTTTTAATGACCCAAAATATAAAAATGATTTTGCAATTAGAATCACTTTAGAGTATATTAATAACATTGGTAGCAATAGCAATAGAAATAGTTTTGAAAATAATGATACAACATCATTCAATACTGATTATATAATACAACAACAACAAAGTTTACAACAAGATCAAATTCTACAAGAAAGCTTCAGCATATTCCCTCAATTGCAAAAACCAAGAAGACCTGCTCCTAGTATACCCCCAGGTATTGTACAATTACAACAACAACTACAACAAGAACAAGAACGACAACAAAATAATGAGCCATTAGTTCAACTTGATGGTTTGTTAAATGATAATAATAATAATAATAATAATAATAATAATTATAATAGTAATGTAAATGGTATAGATTTTGAAAATAATTTAAATTATATTAGCAATAATAATAATAATAATAGTGATAATAATAATAATGAATATATAGATTCAAATGTAAAAACTCTGGGAATTGAATCACAACAAAATTTTTTATCACCTCCACCTGTTCCATGCAGAAGTAAAAAGTCAACTTTGTATCAATTATAAATTATATCTGTGTGTTTGCATTAAAATTCAAACGCTGTTTATTTATAACCCCTTTTTTTTTTTTTTTTAATTTTTTTTTTTATATGAAATAAATAAAATTATTTTTTAATTTTTTTTTTTATTTTCTATTTTTTTTTTTTTTTTCATTTTTGTTTGGTGTAATATTCTATGTTTTAATACAAAGGTTGCAAATCACCACCTTTGACACTTTTTTTTTTTTTAATTTTCATTTTTTTTTTTTTGTTTTTTGTTTTTTTTTTTAATTTAAATAGCGTTATTTTTATAAACACATTAACTTTTTTTTTTTTTAAATTTATTTTTTAATAAATAATAATAAAAAAAAGCCTTTGTACCATGATATTCAAAAAAGAAGTTTTTATTGTTATGATAGCAGCAGTATTTATTATTGGGTTATTAACAATATTAAGCTTCGATGGCGGTCAAAGAAAGTCTAATGGTTTACCAATAAAATGGAGAGATGCAGGACTCAAACCAACAGAAAATAATGGCAATAATAATAATAATCCAGTAGAGGAACTACCTAGTTTACACATTAGCAATTTAGATAGTTTAAAACCAACAAAACCACATTCTTCAACAAATAAAAATAATAAAAATAATAATAATAATAATAATGATAAAGATATAGATATGTTTGCAAAACCAAATAAAAATAATAAATTTAAAGGTCATAAATTACCAAGATGGTCAAAAGAAAGTGAAAATCCATTCAATAAAATTGATTCTAGTTATAAGAAAAACGAAGCAAAGAATATAGAAAGAGCAAATAAAGTTAAAGATGCAATGAAATTTGCATGGGATTCTTATAAAGCAAATGCATGGGGTCATGATGAATGGTTACCAACACGAGAGGGTAACAGTGATTGGTTAGGCGGTTTTGGTTTATCAATTGTTGACTCATTGGATACACTTAAAATTATGGGTTTACAAGAAGAATTAAATGATGGTAAAGATTGGGTTAAGCGTTTAAATCACGTAAGGGCGGTATGTATTTTAATTTTATATTGCATCATAATAACGATATCATTGTATTAACACTTTGTTTTTAATATTAGGGTGATAAAATTTCAGTATTTGAAGCAAATATTAGATATTTAGGTTCCTATTTGGCAATGTATGATTTAACAGGTGACGAAGTTTATAAAAATAAAGCAAAAGAATTTGGTGATATTTTAATGCATTCATTTGGATCAGACCCATTTCCAGCAAGTTTTTTAGGATTTTTAGATCATGAAACTAGAATTCCGGGATGGACAGGTTCATGTGTAATTTTATCAGAATTTGGAACAATGTCATTAGAGTTTTCACGTCTTTCAGATATAACAGGCGATCCAAAATATAAAAAGAAAACTGATGGTATCATTCAAGCACTTATGAAAATGAAACCACAACTTAAAGGTCTTTACCCAGTTTTTATTTCACAAGATGGCAAACGTTTTTGTAATAACCAAGTTTCAATTGGTGCTATGGGTGACTCTTATTATGAATACCTCTTAAAGATGTGGATGTATACTGATGGCAGGGAAGAATTGTACTCTAAATTATTTGAAGAAGCAGCAGATTCAATTATTGAACACCTTTATAAGGTTAGTCCAGGTGGTAATGGTTATATTTCCACTTATGAATATGGTTCAACATCAAAGAAACAAGAACATTTAACATGCTTTGCTGGTGGTATGTTTGCCTTGGCTGCTGCCTCTGGAATTTCATCTAAAGATAATAAAAATAAGCACTATATGGAAGTTGGCGCTGAAATCACTAGAACCTGTGCACAAACTTATTTAGAATCACCATCAGGTTTGGGTGCAGAAATTTTCGTATTTGAAGATAATGGTAAAATCCGTCAATCTGGTCCAGGTACCACAACTTGGTATTTCTTAAGACCAGAAACTGTCGAATCTATTTTCATTCTATGGCGTTTGACTGGTGATGAAAAATATCAAGAATGGGGTTGGAAAATTTTTGAAGCCATTGAAAAGTACTGCAGATTAGAAAATGGTTATGCTGGCTTAAAAGATGTCAACAATATAAAGGATATCCATCAAGACGAGGTTCAACAAAGTTTCTTTATGGCAGAAACTCTCAAATATATTTATTTAATATTTAAAGACTCTAATACCATTCCACTAGATAAATATGTTTTCAATACAGAAGCACATCCATTTTTAATTAATTACTAAATTTAAAAAGAAAAAACAAAAAAAAAAAACCACTAAAATAATAATAGTATAATGTAATAATATTTTAATAAATAAAAAAATATTTTATATTTTTATGGTTCTTTTTTTTTTTTTAAAAAAAAAGAATTTTATTTTTGATAATGTAACAACTTAAAAAAAGATAGTATTATTTTACTTTTAATCATCATAATCTGAATCGGATTCAAATTGTTTTTGTCTTGATAATGAGCTTTCCCAATCATTTGTCTTTTTCATTGGATTTGGTATGATATCATAGGATGCAAATAATAATTCTAAATCTTCTTTATCGAAACTTCTTCCTAATTCTTCAGTAATTGGTACAAATGATATTACTAATTCACCACCTTTATATACTAAAATACTTGGTAATGCTGCATCGTGATAGTTCTTTTTGGCTTCAGTGCTAACAATTTTTAAAAATTTAACATATCTATATTTAATTGCCATTTGAGTAAGATATTGATTAACTAAAACACATTCTGGAATATACTAATAAATAAAAATTGATATTAATATAAATATAGAGAAGAATTAAAATGTAATAGTTTTTAAACTATACATACAGTTTGATATAAATGAACTATAACAAAAACATTTGATGGTTCATTATCTAGTTCATCAATATATTGTGAAGAGTCAATTTGCTTTAAATAGCCGAAAACTTTCTTTACAGGTTTACTTTCTTGTGTTTGTTTATTTTTCCATTGTTCTAAACGAGATCTACGTATTCTTTCTAAATCCTCTTCATCACTATCTAAATCCTCCTCTGGTTGTTGTTCAGGTTGGTCTCTTGTTGTAAAACACATCTTTTCTAATTTTTCTATTGCTTCTCTTTTTTGTTGAAGATATTTTTGTTTTTCTTTTTCTCTGTGTTCTGCATAATCTGATAATACACCCTTTACACCAGTATTACCACCTGATTTATATTTTGGTTGTTCTTTTTCTTGAATATACTCCATATATTGTTCGTCAGTCATTGCCTCTACATCTGGTTCGAAATCTTTATGTTTATGTTCATCATCGTCACAACATTCGTTAGCATTGTTATCATTGTCGCTGTGGTCATCTCCTTCATCTCCACTATCGTGGTGTCTAATATCGCTTGTTTCTTGGTCACCATCTCCAAACTTATCTAAAATTTGATTTAATATTTTTTGCTCCATTTTATTATTATTTATACTATTACAAAAAAAAAAAAAAAAAATATAGTTTCAAAAGTAATTATTAAAAAATGAAAAAATATTAAAAAAATTAAAAAAAAAAAAAAAAAATATTTTTAAATTGAAAAAAATAAAATAAAAAAAAATAAAAATAAAATATTTTTCAAATGGTCAGTTATTTATTTATTTATTTATTTATTCTTTGTATAAATATTATTTTGCTTTAGTCAGTAATTAATATGTAAAAATGAATAAGTTTCATAATAAAAAAAAAAAATTTTTTTTTTTTCAAAATCTATTTTTAGGTTTTTTATTTTTTTATAAAAAAAAATAATTGGGTTTGCAAATATAAAAAAATGATCATTAATTTGATTTATTATTAAGATTGGGTATAAAGTGGATTTTCACCACCTGATTGATTTGCTACGTATAACGGGTTTTCTGAAGATGCTCCCATTTGTGTATTGTGTGATGATTTCCATGCATCATAACCTTTTTTACCACCAAATATTGCGAGCCCGAGTGCAACAGCTCCACCAATTACGATTCCTGCTGTTGCTGCAGCACCTATACCAACTGCAGCCTTAACTGCAGCAGTTTGGCATTTAAATGGTAATGGGTCATAATTTTTAAATATACATGTTTTGGTTTCATTTGAACAAATACCATACTGACATCTTGGTTCATCTGGAATACAGGGTCTATCTGCAGTCATACATTTCTTTGTACTATTATCGCAAAAACCTATAAGACAAAATGCTTCCACTGGGCAATCGATTGGTGTCATTATACAACCTTTCTTTTTGTCACATGAAGCAACAAAACATGGATTATTTGATACACATGTTTTTGGCTTATGGGCACATCCTCCATTTAAAGAAAGTGAGTTTAGGCAATAATCAATAGTACAGGCATCTCCATCGTCACATGAATTTGGTAACCAATGGCAAGTACCATTGTCGGAGCATACATCTATGGTACATAAAATTCCATCATCGCAATGATCTACATTGATACATTCACCAGTTTTTGAGTTGCATTGGGCTGTTGAGCATTTGTTTTTGGGTTTGCATTGCTTTGGTTTGGACTCACATTCTCCTGTTTGACCATTGCATGTATCTATTGTGCACATATTGTTATCATCACAATCTTTGGACATTCTATTAACACATTGAACAGAAGAATTGTATGGATTACATTCTAATTGTTTGCATTTATCATTAGACTGAGAGCAAATACTTTCGTTAGCACATGGAACACAGTTTTCTATATGCTCGTGAATACAGCCTGTATCTTTTGAACATGAGTCAATTGTGCAATGATCTTTATCGTCACAATCTACTGGAGTAAAGGAACAACCCGAATGAGGTATACACTTTTTATTTGTGCATTTATCTGAATCATCTTGACAAAGATATTGATATTCCCACTGGCCAGTATCTTCATTACATGTTGTTTTGTAGCATGTAGTATCGTTCTTTGCTTGATCAATTTCCTTGTTTTTAAAATAACACCCACCTTTTTTATCATCACACATTGATTGAACGCAGCTACTGGATTTCTTTTCATCACATACATTGTAATTTGTTTTAACTTCACATTTGTTTGTATCTGTGTTACACTCGTATTTGTTACAAAAAGAATCATGGTTTGAACAATTTGACTCCACGACTTTGCAATGGTACCTCCAATCTACATTTGCTGGTATATCTGTTAACCCTGGGCATTCAAAATGTCCACATGGTGGTAATCTTCCATAACATTCATTAGGATTACAACATTTACCCATTCCTTCACAAACACCACAAAACTTTATAATAAATAATTAAAGTTATTAATACAATTGCTTTTAATTTCAATTATAAAATTTATACAATTGATTACTTACATCATAATATTTACATTTAAAATCTATACTTGTTTCAATCATAATGTGAGAATCAGTTGAATGTCTTTCGCAATAAAAGAAATCAAAATTATAGCTCTTTGATTTTTTTAAACCCAAATCATCCAATTGTACAGATCCTTGACCATTTTGACCAATTACATCATGTGGAGCACCTAAATCTAACACCAACTCGTTATTAATAAATACCCATACATCATCATCACCTAAATATTTTAAAAAAATTATAAAATTAAATATTAATTAATATTTAAGAAATATTTTTATTTTTATTAATCAATGATAATTATAATAACATACCTTTAAAATTAAAAACTTCACCCCCAATATAAAAAAATGATGCATGTAATTCCAAACAAAAATGAAAATTTCTTGCAAAACCAAAACGATCTTTATATTGACCTTTTTTTACTGGACCATTGTAGGAAGGTGATTCAAAACCCATATTATCTATTGGAAAGAAATTATCTGATGAAAATTGATATATTCTTGGATCCTCGGATGTTATGTTTCTTTTAAATACAAGTGTTTTTGATATTTCCATATTTTCACCTTTGACATTATGAAACCAACTATAAAATGTTGTTTGATTGTGAATAACGAATCGGTTTCTTGACAAATTGGGTGCAGGGTCATCCCCACAACAATATAAGGGGGATCTATCATATTCATTTAAATCTTCTTTAACCAAACCTTTAATAACTTTATTTGGATTATCAATTTCAAAATCTGGATTTGTTTGTGGTGATAAATCTCTTATTGTTACAACAACATTTTTTTCTAATGGTAATAAATTATTAAAATTATCTAAAAAAAAATGAAATTTAAAAAATTAATTTTGGGAAAATAAAATAAAAAAATTTAAAAAAAATATATTTACCATCTGATTTTATAATTGATATATAAATTATTAAAATTATTATATTAATTAAAAGTTTCATATTTTATTATTATTATTATTTTAGGTATTTTTTAGAAAAAGAATTATTTAAATATAAATTTTTAAAATAAAAAATAAAATTAAAATAATAAAAATTAAATAACTAAATAAATAATCATTATTTTATTTTTATTTTATTGGAATGTTTTAAATTAAAGTATAGGGGTGTATTTAATTGATTTAATAATTGGCATTTTAATTCTGTTTTATAATAGTATTAGATTGGGATAATTTTTTTTATTAAAAAAATTTATTGGTTTAAGTGTTTTATGATTAAATGTGGTGAAATAATATTTTTATATATATAAAATGTGGGTGTGATTATTTTATTTTTAAAATGTGGGGTGGATTTTTAAATTTGTAAAATAAATATCTTATGTGTATTTATTTGTTTTATTAAAAAATTTACAAATAATTTTTTTTTTTTTTTTTTTAAATTTTTTTTTTTTAATTTATATTTTATTTATCTTTTTTTTTTTTTTTGGGGAAATTAACTAATAAATAAAAATTGATTAACTGTTGAATACAATGAATAAAAATGTATTTAAAGATTTCTGTTGAAATTTGAAAATATTGGGTAACATTTTTGTTTTATGTTAATAATTTTTTAATACAAAATTACATTGAATTGGTAAAAAAAAAAAAAAATTAGGTGTAGGAGTTGATGATGGGTTTTGTGTAGGGGTTTTTATGGTGATTGGAAAAAAAATTTAGATATTTTTTGAATTGGAAAAAAATATTATTTTAAAATCTTTTTTTTTTTAATTTTTTTTTTTTTAAATTTTTGAGCAGGTTTTTTTCTAAATTTTTTTTTTTTTTTCCATTCGTCTTATAATATATACAAATAAAAATGATGATGAAATTTTTAGCTTTAATTGTTTTATTACTTGCTGTATTCAACTCTGCCTCAGCCAGAAAACAAAATGTTCATTTTGATTTCTGCCCAACTTGTATGTAAATTAAAAACTATTATTTAAAAAAAAAAATAAAATAAAAAAAAATAAGATATCGGAATTAACAAATATTAATAAAAATTATTTATTTATTTATTATATTATTAAATTATATTAGGTGTTGATTTTTTAAATAAAGATTTAGGTGATCTTGAAAAAATTCTTTCAGGTGGTGTCCTCGGTAGTTGTTCAAAAGTCTGTTCATTACTCCCAGCCCAATCCGAACAAGCTATTTGCGATTTACTTTGTTCAATTGTTGGTATTGATGAATTCCTTAAAATCTTCAACGAATTAAACATCGATCCAGTTTATTTATGCGAAAGACTCACTGTTTGCCCAGTTAAACCAGGTGCCAACGGTACTGTTCTCGATGTTGCTGTTCAACCATCATCAGGTCCACACGGTACTACCTTCACCATTGGTGTTGCTTACCAAGTTCTCAGCGAATTAGGTACTGCTGAAATTGCTTTTGTTGTTACCGATCCAACTGGTACCAACGGTTTCGGTGATGCTGAACTTTTAGTTTCAACTGCTGTTGGTAACTACAATGCTCAATTCCAATTCCAAGCCACTCCATCTGAAGGTGAATCTTTCCCAGAAGGTGTCTACCAAGTTCAAGTTTTACTCTGTGATGGTGCTTGTGGTACCAAACACGGTTCAACTTACAACTTTTTAACCACTAACTTTACTATTACTGCTGGTGGTTCAGGTAACAGCGGTTCAATTACTGGTGGTTCAGGTAGCGGTTCAGGTGCTGCTTTCTATTAAATATATTAAATTAATTTTATTTAATTAATAATTTTAATTTTTATAAATAACAAAAAAAAAAAATTTATTCAAATCGAATAAAAAAATAAATAAAAATTATATTTTTATAGAAAATAATTTGTTGTTTCAAAATTAAGCTTTGCTTGGGAAAAAACATTTTCATTTATTTCAATTTTATAAAAAAACTTAATATATATTTTTTCTTAAAATTTTTTTTAACAAAAAACCATATAAAAAAAAAAAAAATTGTTAAGCTAAACTATAAGATTAATTTTAAAAACATTGAAAAATTATAATAAATTTGAAAAAAACTTGGTCGTTGAAAAATTTCTTTTAATCTTTTTTTATATTTTTTTTATTTGTAATTTTTAATTTATTATTTTATTCTTTAATTTATATAATTATTATCTATGTTATAATTTTATATTATAATGTTTTATATTTTATTATTTTTATAATTTAATATTTTTATAATTTTACAAAATAAGATATTTTCCAAAAAATAACCTAGAAAAATATAAATTATTAAAAAAAATCGCCAAAAAGAAAAAACAAACCAAAATTGTAATGAAATGACCCCCCTATTAAGTTAATAAAGAAATATTGTAAAGAAACCTTTATTTAAGTATTTTAGTTATTTATATTATTTATTGTTTTGTTATTAGAAGTTAAAAGATGATAAGAATGTTTAATAAAGAATTATTACTGAAGTATTTATAGTGTCATAAACAAGTTGACATGAATGTATATATATGTTAAGCATGTGACATTTTCAACTAAATATATTATTTATGGAAGATTATTACTATTTTAAGAGTTATTTATTATAAAACTAATTATTACTATTTTAAGAGATATTATTATAAAACTAATTATTACTATTTTAAGAATATTATTATAAAATTAATTATTGCTGTTTTTGGATTGTTAATAATAAAAATCACCTTAAAGATGTTGATACTGTTTCATTACAAAATTTCTATCCCTGTCGGGTTAGCTCAGTTGGTACGAGCGTAGGTCTCATAATCCTAAGGTCGTGAGTTCGATCCTCACACTCGACATCTTTTAAATGAAATATTTTATCTTCCGTATGATTTTTGGGTTTTCATTAATTTCCTACAAGTTACCGCTCCGGGTTCGAAACCCAGCCTCAGCAAGTTTTCCGAATCACACACGAATTGACGTTACCGTGCCCAACTTGTATGCAGTGTGGTAAAACTCATATAATACCAAACACAATAAACTGATGACTTAATATATCATTAAGAATCATCTTCACTTTTAAAAAAAAAAAAAAAAAAAGGGTTCGAAACCTAGTGTAATGTAAATGAACTTTTAAAGTATAAACAAATAACTATCTCAACAGATTTTCCGAATCATACCTTACCCTGCCCAACTTGTATGTAGTGGTAAAACTCATACCTATTAAAAACACAATAAACAAACTTATTACGTAATACATCATTAAGAATCATTTTCACTTTTAAAAAAAAAAAAAAAAAAAAAAAAAAAAGGTTAGGAATTACCCCCAAATTAAAGTTTCGGCCATAAGTTTTTTTTTTTTTTTTTTTTTTTTTTTTTTTTTTTTTTTTTTTCCAATATATTTTAAATTACTGTTATTAAATTTATATTAAATTTATTGTGGGTTAATGTGAGTGGGGTATTGGGGAATTTTTTTTAATTAGATGATATTGAAAATAAAATGAAAAAAAAAAAAAAAAAAAAAAAAAAATTAAATATAAAAAAAATAATTTGGAGGCAACAAATTTTAACATTAAAAAGCTTTATTATAATATTATTTTGAATAGATTTTAAGACTTTTTTATTTAGTTGTAAATAAAAAAATTTATTTGAAGGATATTCCTAAATACGGTTTTTAAATTTAATATTCGATCCTTTTTTGGAATAACATTTTTTTTTGAAAACCGGTACGGTTCGGAGCTTTAATAAATATAATTTGGAGGTATTCCTGCATCAAGTTGATCTATGTCACACCATAATTGTTTAAATTTGTTTTTAATTTGATAAACGTAGTTTTAATTTTTTTATCTATAAAAGATATTGATAAATGAGTAATATTTCTCTATAATTTTTGGGATCAACATTATTTGATACCTGACCACTATATATTAGATAGTCTTTTGATACAGGTACCATTTATTTGAACAGTGGTTATTATGACTATTATGATTACTATATATGATGTTTGGTTCTAAGTTTTATATTATTATTTTTTTTTTTTTTTTTTTTTTATTTTTTTTTTCTTTTTTTAATTTTCTTTTTTTAGACATATTTTTTAATTTTTTTCCATAATTCTGAAATATGTAAAAAAATAAAATTGCCTAAAAAAGAATGAAGTGTTATTGGTGGTTTTGGGAGACAATCTACCCATGCTTCAAGTTTTTCATTAAATATTTTAATTGATGGTTTTCCAAAATATCCCCCTTCTGATGGTGCACCTGTAAAATGGTATCTGGATTCTGGTGCAAATAATTTTGGATAACTGGATGAGGCTATGCGAGCATTTGATTGTTGTGTTGGTTGTGGGGTAGGAATCGGAGTTGGATTTGTAATTGTAATTGAATTTGGTAATGGAGTTTTTGATATTGGTGTTATTTTTGGTGTTGGTAGTTAGGATGAATTAGTTGATGGTGCGCCAAATGGTGTAGATGAAGTTTATGGTGCGCCAAATGGTGATGGTGTAGTTGTTGATGGTGCGCCAAATGGTGATGGTGTAGATGAAATTGAAGGTGGGCCAAATGGATGTTTTGTAGTTGTCGATGGTGCGCCAAATGGTGATGTTGTAGTTGTCGATGGTGCGCCAAATGATGATGGTGTAGTTGAGGTTGATGGTGCGCCAAATGGATATTTTGTAGTTGTAGATGGTGCGTCAAATGGTGATGTTGTAGTTGTCGATGGTGGGCTAAATGATGATCCTATAACTTCTCTTAGACGATTGTTTTCATTATTTAGTTGGTTAATTTGGGATGAAAATTTTTGATGCATGTTTTGCTTTTCTTTTTCTTGTAGTTTCTTCAATGATTCCAGTTCTTCTTTTAGTTGATCGATGTCATTTTCATATTGGGAGTTGTTTTGAAGAGGATTGTTTAATGATTCTAATTGATGTTTTAGTTGATTATTTTCTTCATTCAATTGGTTAATTTCTTCAGTTCTTTTGTCTTTAAGTGATTCTAATTCTTCTTTTAATTGTTTAATTTGATTTTCATATTCAGCTTTGTCGTATTGTTCATTTTGATTATTATTATAAAGAGAATCTTTTTGATCTAATATTTCTTTATTATCAAGATTTAATAATTTTTCAATTTCATTTAATAATTCCTCTTTATCTCTATCTTTTTGTTTTAATGATTCTAATTGATCTTTTAATTGATTGTTTTCATTATTTAGCTGATTAATTTGATCTTGGTTATTAGATTGAGCCAATTGTTCTTTTAATATTTCTAACTGATCTATTAATTCTTTATTTTGTTCATTTAATTTATTTATTTGGTTAATAAGCTGATCAGTATCAATATCATTTTTAGTTTGATTCATTTGCTCTTTTTCTTGTTTTACTGATTTTAATTCTTCTTTTAATTGATTAATTTGAGATTTAAATTGTTCTACTATAATATAATAACCAAGTTGTTGCTTTAATATTTCTGAATCCTCACTTAAATTGATAGTTTCATTTTCTGATTTTGATTTTATTTGAAAATTTTCATTTAAAAATTCGTTATATTGATTTGTCTTTAATTCATTTTCAATTTTAATACGCTCTTCGTTAAAAATTAACTTTTCTTGTTGGAATCTAGTTTGAAGGTTTTCCTCGATTTGATCATTCATTTGAGCCAATGTTTTATAAGTTTGCTGATTTTTTTTTAAATCATTGATCTCAGAGTGTAATGAATCAATAATTGCATGGGAAGTCTCTGCGATTGATGGTGTAGATGAAGTTGATGGTGCGCCAAATGGTGATTTTGTAGTTGTAGATGGTGCGCCAAATGGAGATTCTGGTGTAGCTGAAGTTGATAGTGCGCCAAATGGATATGGTGTAGTTGGAGTTGATGATGCGCCTAATGGTGATGATTCTGGTCCTGGTATTAGTGTAGCTGTGGTTGATGGTGCGCCAAATGGTGATTTTGTTGTTGAAGATGGTGCACCAAATGGTGATGGTGTAGTTGAAGTTGATGGTGCGCCAAATGTTGATGATTTAGATGAAGTTGATGGTGTGCCAAATGGAGATTTTGTCGTAGTCGATGGTGCGCTAAAAGATGATGATTCTGGTCCTGGTTCTGGTGTAGTTGGGGTTGATGGTGCGCCAATTGGTGATTTTGTAGTTGTCGATGGTGTAGTTGAAGTTGATGGTGCGCCAAATGGTGATGGGGAGCTTGTACCGGTCAAAGGTATTGAGAATAGTGTCGATCTTGGTGTAGAAGCAGCTTTTGATGGTGCATTAAATATTGATGCAGTTGTTGATGGGGATGTTGCCAAACTTGAGGAATTTGTTGGGATTTTGAAAGATGAGGCAATGGAGGTTGTTTTTGGAGCACTAAATGGTGATGAAAATGCTGTGAATGTTCCCGAGAGTGGTGCTGTAAAAGGATTGGAAAATAAATTTGAGGATGAGGTTGTTGAAAAACTGGTACTTGTAGAATTACCAACTAAATTTACAGATGGTGCGCCAAATGGTGATGGTTCTGGTCCTGGTGATGGTGTAGTGGTGGTTTTTGGTGCGCCAAATGGTGATGGTGATGGTCCTGGTGATGGTGCGCCAAATGGTGATGATACAGCTGTGAATGTTCCCGAGAGTGGTTCTGTAAAAAGATTGGAAAATAAATTTGAGGATGAAAAACTGGTACTTGTGGAATTACCAACAAAATTTACAGATGGTGCGCCAAATTGTGATGGTTTTGGTCCTAGTTCTGGTGATGGTTTTGGTCCTGGTGATGGTGTTGTTGTGGTTTTTGGTACGCCAAATGGTGATGGTTCTGGTGATGATTCTGGTCCTGGTTCTGGTGTAGTTGTGGTTAATAGGGTTGTTTCCAAACAAGGTGAGGTTTTTCCGCCAAAGATATTTGTTGTTGATTCTTTTTTATCTGTTGGATTACCAGATAAGTTAAAACTTGAAGATGAACTGGTTTCTGATTGGGTTGTTGTTGATAATGGTGTAGATGTTGAAACCTTTTGATATTTGTATGATGGAACAAAAGTGTATGGGTATGGTGAGTTTGGTATTGTTGGTGAAATTGGAATTGGTTTTAGTATTGGTGCTGGTTTTGGTTCTGGTGGTGGATTTGACTTATAACGGTATGCGGGGGCAAAGTTACTTGGGTATGGTGTTGATTGTGATTTTGGAGATGCTTGTGGTTCTGCCATTTTAACTTTTTTTTTTTTTTTTTTTTTTTTTTAAAGAAAAAATATACAAACAAAAAAATTAGATTTATTTACAAAAAAAAAAAAAAAATAAGATTATATAATATTTAAAAAAAAAAAAATAATTACCAAATGTAAATATATAAAATATGAATATAAAATATATATAAAGATGTGTAGGATGTGTGAAGAGGAATAAAATATATAAATGTTGATTTGTGTATATATAAAATGCAATGAGTGTGAGTGAAGAGAAAAAAAAAATTTATTAAAAAAAAAAATAAAATTAAAAAATTATAATTTATTAAAAAAAAATAGTTTTGAAATAAGCTATGAAAATCAATTAAAAATTTAAAAAAAAATTTAAAAATTAAAATTTTAATTTTTAATTTTTAAGAACAGTGTTTTTAATTTTTAATTTTTAAAAACAGTGTTTTAAACAAAACCAAATTTATTTTTTTAATTTCTTCAATAGATCATTATTGTAATTAATTATTAAAAAAGACAACACGTCTTCTTTAAATAAAAAAAAAAAAAAAAAAATATATAACTGCCCAATTTGCAGGGTGATAAACCCCTACAGGTTCAAAACCCAATAGTTCCTTTATCGTCATTTTTATAAATGATATTGTGTGAAATCTGATTTCTGGGAGTAAGTGTGGTATAAAACAAAAAACAAAAAAATGAGAACCAGATAAAAAAAAGTTTAAATAAAATACATATTTAGCAAATAATTTTATTTTTTGAAAAAATAATTTAAAAGTTTTATTTAATTCATATAGTTTCTTGAACTTGTGCTTGATCTTTTTCTTTCATTAACAGTTGTTAATCTGTGACTTTCATCTAATAATGAGGGAGAGGATAAGGAGGTTGGAGAAGTTGAGATTGGCTGTTGGGAATGGATACTGTTTACAATTGGGGATAAGGAAGAATTTTGTTGGGGTAAAGGTGAATTACCACCACTATTTGTACTACTACCACCTAAGTTATTACTATTATTATTTATAGAAGTTGTATGTTGTTGTAATTGTTGTTGTAAAATTTTTGATAAAATATCACTTTCTTTTTCTTTAAATAGTACTGCTAAAACTTTACATTTGTTTAATTCTTTTTTAATTTCATCTCTTTGTTTATCACATTGAAGAGTAGATTGAGGAACTGAGCAATGGTCTATTAATAATTGTTGCATATTTATATAAGAAATCCAAAGCTGTAATAAATGTTGATAAAGATTACAAACTGCAAAACAAAATCTTGTTTCAGTGATTTGAACTTGACTTTCATCATTAGTTATACCATTTTCAAATAATTTTGCACGAGTATTATTTGTTGAAGTTCTTTGTTCTGTGTAAATCTTTAAATGGTTTGTAAAATTACTGATTGCTTTTTCTCTGTGTTCTAAAAATACTTTAGAAATTGATGGCTTCTCTTGAATAACTTTTTTATAACGCTCGGCTAATTGGACAGTATTTTGAATTTCATTATAAGAATTCATAAATGTTGGCTTTTCAAATATATCGACAGATAAAGCTGATACTTCAGTGGAGATTGAAAGAATTAATGGTAAGCATTGGTTAAATAAAGTTTTATATTCAATTGTAATTTGATTAATTAGTTGAGAAGCTGCTGTAAATGCATCTAATAGATCTTTTTCTGAATTGAATTCAAACTGTTCTGAACATGAATTCCACCAACTCTTTGCAGCTGTAACATTATATGACATTGTTGTTAAAGTTTGATTAGAGTGAATAATATTTCTAGATAATGTTGGTGATGATGAATTATGTAGTGATCTTGACGATGATCTAGTTGTTGATGATGGTGATGTTGGAGCTATAACAGAGTTTGTATTTATTGAATTTGTTGATGATGTTGATGATGATAATTGTTCTTTAGTAATATTTTGTTGGGTAGCGTTATTATTTACATTTGATGGTTCTTTAAAATTTAATAAATTTGAGGATGAGCCTGATGAAGAGTTTGAAATTAAATTAATATTCTCTTTTACAAGGTTGGATGAATTTGATGAAGTTGAAATTGGTGATAACGGTATACCATTATTAAATTGTTCTACATTATTAATTGAACTTTTATTAAATGTACCAAAATTATTTGACTTTGTTGAAATTGTTGAACTGTCCAATTGACTTGTACTCATATTTGAGCTATCATCCATTGACATATCACCTAAACCTTCTAAAATATCATTAAAACCTTGGAAATGTGGGAAATTATGAAATTCTGGACCATCGAAATCATTTGATCTTAGTGTATCTGTATCCATTTCCATATCGAGTTCAGATGAAGGTTGTTGGATTGTACCGTTACTTGATGAATGGCCATCATCACCATTATCTGAGTAATTATCATCACTATTTTCATAATGTTTTTGAATATTAGCTTGGTCATCGTTTGCATTTGAAAAGAATGTTTCAAATATTTGTGTAGTAGAGTAAATTGATTTGGTTAACGATACTGATCTTGCACAAGTATCCAATACCTTATGGAGATAGTTTGCAGCAAAGAGTGTACCTCTTTCAACTTTATTTGAGAATTTCTTGGCACCAACAGTATTCTTTGATGGTTTAAGACTAGCATTGTCAATTGTTGTTAGTGATGTTGGTGAGATACCACTTGTAATCTCAATGAAACGAATAGCTTGTGAGACAATATAATGTGGTGTTTTATGATCATTTAAGAACTGTGTAACCGTATCAAACCATTCTGGAACACGAGAGCTTTTAGTTTCAGCTGGATTAACACCACCTTTTACCAACATTGTTAATATTTTTAAAATTGGATAACGATAATCGGTTGAACCAAACTCCAACATATTGAACAGCAAAGAAAATACTAGAGTTGAGTGCTTAATAACATTTTCGCATAATGGACCACTAATATCTTGCAAGAAACTATCCAAGTGTTTAAAGTATGATTTGTTGCTATATTTTTCAAAGATTGTTGATAAACGGTCATAACCATGATTTTCACAAACTATTGAGATGTTTTCGGATGCTTGTTGAGCCAATATACAATTATCACCTATTGATAAACAAAGGAATGGTAACAAACTGATTAAATTTGTAATGAATCTAATTGGTTCTGGATGGAAAATTTCGTCACATGGTTGTAAAGTGATCTTTGATAAAAATTCTAAAGAAATTAAGGTGGTATTATTAGACATTAGACCTTTGATGACCAATGGTTGGACACCGTGGAAATTTTCCCAATCTTTTGGCATACTGGCCAAGAAAACATTTTGAACAGCTCTGTCAGAGAAATTGATAATATCTAAAAGTTGAGAAAGTAATTTAATAGCACCAACGAAATGATTTTCGAAATCTGTATGTAACATTGCGAGGGTTCCCCAAAATATTTGTGGGAATAAAATTAATTTAGTTGGGTGAATACATTTTATCATAACTTGAAGGGTCTCTTGAATTTCTGAAATAAATAATGCATTCTCTGAGGAGGTATTTTGGATATGTTTACCTAGAGTTTGCATAACTTCGGTTAATGAATCGATAGTAGTAGTTGGTTCTAAACCACGAAGTATTTGGAACGATCTCATTGCTAAACGTTGATTTTGACTGTTGGTAGCCCAATTCAATGCTGCAACACCCCATTGTTCATTAAGATCAGTGGAGCCATCTGGTGAAAGTACAAAAGCAATACGCTTTGATAGCATTACAACATATTTTGGATTTGAAATATCTTTTTTAGATTGAAGTTCGACTTTTGGTGAATTTTCTGATGGCATTAGGAAATCTACTAATTGTACTGCATCTTCATAAAGTGGATTATCAATGGTACCGCCCTCTTGCATTTGGAATTTTTTGATAACTAAAGAACGAATTAAATTTAATAAAAGCATTCTGCAATGATCATGAACTGGTTGACCTGAATTATAATAAAGACCTAAAAATACCAATTGAAGTAATACTGGTAAATGTACTCTAAACTCTTCGCCAATTTCATATGAAACTTCGCTAAGGAAAATTAATGGTAATTGGAATCTAGTTAATGGTGATGATTTTGGTTGACGGTCACCAAATATTTCAGTTGAGTTTTGGAATGACATTGAAATAAATTGTACAGTATTATAGACAACCTCTGAAGAACTAACTGGTGCGCTTCTTTGGTGAATGGTGGTTCTTAATCTGCCACTTGAAATTTTTTGGGTATCTGTAATGTCAACAATTGAAGGAGCACCGTTGGATGTTAATTCACCAACCAAACAATTGATTAATTTTTGTGGTGATGATCTTCCTAAAAATATACAAATTCTTTTAAAGATTGGGATTAATTCGTGATTTCTAGTCTTTTCAGTGATACCAATTAAAAAGTCAATAATAACACCAATATTATCTTGATTTCTACCTAAAACTCTCCAAAGCTCCTCGATTAAATGAGAATGATTAACTGAATACTTGATTGAAATTAAAACTAAACCTTGCAATACAGACTCTAAAAGATGTGAATTTTCAGAGGCCAATGTTAATAATGACATTTGTTTAATCCATGGTTTGACATAATTTAACATTTGTCGTTGATGATCTTGGCTGATGGTCTCTAAACGATAAACTACATCCATGAAAAATTCATAACATAAATCTTCGTTCTCTAATGAAAGTTTTTCTGATAAATGGTATTGTGCATTTAAGAAGGTTTCTGGAATTTCACTACCTATAGTTGATGGATAATAACAATCACCATAAAGTTGATTTTCTGAGTTTTCAAATCTACTTGCCCTAATTAATGCTAATAATTGAAGAGAGTGCTGTCTAACATTTGAACTTTTAGTTCCACAGTTGAAAATGATTAAATTCATCATTATTGACTCTGAAAAATCAAATTTCAATATTTCATCTTGGCATAGTTCGACCAAAGAAATAAAGTAACCATGAGCTACTGGGATTTGAGATGAATAACATTGATTAATACAATGGTAAATTAACTCTTGGTGAGAAAGATTATGCTTTAAAAAGTTTTGTAAACCAGTTCTAGTGATGGCACGTAATTTGGTTTTAATTCCACTGAGGAACATTTGATTGATCCATTGAAATATAACACCATTTGGATCTTTGAAGGTTTCAATAAAGAATGGACCTAATAAAATTACAGAGAGTGCATGTGATGCTACATGACTTAATTGAGAAGCATGTTCGTAAATTCTAATTTCAGCTTCTTTTCTTTTAGCTGCTTCTTTTTCTTCTTGTTGTAAAAATGCTACAAGTTTACGTGATGTTGACTCTTCTCTAATGAGCTCCTCACTTTCACTCCACTTGTTAAAAGCTTTAAATAAATCTCTACGTAAAGTTTTTTCTAAAAACTCATGGCCACCGCTATAGAGTTGTTGAACAATACGATGTACCATTGCACAAAAGTTGAATCTAATGTAGTGTAAATTATCCCAAAGATATTCGTTGCTGGGATCTGGACCACTTGGTACATTAACATTCAAGAACTGTAAAATCTCTTGAATAAAATCTACGTAGGATTTCTTTAACATATCACGTTTGACCAATTCACCTGGCTTTAATGACTCTAAGCAATGTCTACGGATACCAATAACCGATTTAATGACATCGGTTTTCTTTTTAGTTTTACGTAAACCATGTAATTCGTTTTCTAATGGCTTTAATACATCAAATAAAACCTCAAGTACATATGAATTTGTTTTTTCCAAAGCGGCCAATGATGACTCTGCAAAAAATCTATCCATACTCTTTAAATATGGTACAATTAAATTAAATAACTCTCTGGCTGATACTGGATATTGATGATCTTGTGAGTCATTGGTTGTTTGTTTCTTTTTGATATCCAAAAATGTATTGTCAGTAACTTGAATTGTTGCACAAGCTAGTATTATATAATTTCTCCACCAAATCCAAAGTTGTTCTTGTTCCGGTGTTACTGATTGAGCTTTTTGACTTTCATCAGGTTGAATGGGTTTAATTCTTTGTAAAACTAAATCTGTAGATTTTCCTATAGTTTTGGGGCAAAGCTCGCAACCAGCTTTAATAATATCGGCTAAGCAACAGCTCCAAAGTATTTGATCTTCTTTTGATTCACTCTCAGCCATTCTCTCGAAATCTTGAGGTGATTTTTGTCTTTTATATTTATTTTCTGGTTGTTGTTGAGATGATGATGCAGATGTTATTGCACCAATTGTATTAGAAACATTCTTATTTACGACATCAATAACTACACCGCCAACATTAACTGTACTTGTGTTTACAACACTACCGTTGTTGCTATTACTACCATTGCTATTGATTTGACCTATATTGCTAAAATAATAATTTTGAGCATGTCTATAAAGATACTCACAACCATTTTCATCGATAATATCTTTCAAATAAGTGGATATTTCTATATCGTCATCTTCTTTTGCCATTAAAAATGATTCGTGAACTGAACGAATTGAATCTAAAATATGTAAACAAAGCTTTCTATTTCTACCATTTGAACTACAAAGAAAAGTTAAGGCTACGGCTTCTACATAAGAGATATCAGGTATATTTTCGCCATGGTCCGCTCTAAATCTTAATTCTTCAAACTCCTCATTTGCAGCTAACGAGAATTTATTGGTTTTAAATCTAGCCCAAAGATCCAATAACTCTCTTTTCTTTTCCAAAACTACTGCGATTAAATTGCTTTGCTTATCTGAAAGATAAAGAGCAAATCTACCTAGACCATAAATAATTTGTGGACGAATATCAGGACGTGCAGCCATTAATTGAGTAAGTACAATAGAAGCTTTTTCGCTTACACCTCTATCCATATGAATTAAAAATTTCGAAAGCATAACGACCAAATCTTGTGGTACGATTTTATTTGGGAATGCAATGGGTATAACTGAAACGGCAATCTTTAAAAGCTCGAGACAAGAATAACCTGGTGGACGCATCTTCTCCAAAAGCTCACCCAATGGCTTGGTTTGATTTGAAGTTAAAAGAAAACCAAAAGTACTATCCAATGATAAAAGAATTTGAGATAATAAAATCGATAAATTCTTTAAATAAGGCTCAATCAATGAAGTTGGGGCTACCTTCTTAGTATTTAAAGTACCATAACGTTGACGTCTAACTGCTCTAGCCTTGTGACTACCAGAGACCAATGGATCAGGTAATGGAGAAGCTGAAGGGGATTGATTTGGACTATTACTAAAAGACAACATCTTTGGTGTTAACGGGTTTGTACCTTGTTGATCAATCATCATTACAGCACGAAGACCAACAATCATACGCTCGGGATTACTAATATACAAATCTTTTTGTTCACCACCACGAAGTAAATCGAAAATGATCTTTTCAAATGCAAAATCGATTCTACTACCAGCGATTACACATATAATATCTACAAATACATCAAGTGGGTCCGATGCCGACATTGTCAATTTCTTCGAATGTCCATTTGGGAATATATGACTGACTAATTGATGAAGTCTTTCATAAACCTCTTCTGGTTGTTCGGAATACTTTGTTAAATAACATTCTAATAAATACTGTGATGCCTCTAATGCATATGGTCTAATTGTTTTATCTTTACATTTTATGAAATTATCCATTAACTGCCAAAATTGTTTTAAAAATGATTCTTTATCTAGGCAACATAATAAAATTGATAATAATGGAAATGATGTCTAAAATTAAATAAAAAAAATAAATAATTAACATAAAAATATTAAAAAAAAACAATAAATAATAATACTTACCAAAACATCTTTAGTTTTTTTAGTTTTTTTATTAATAAATTCATATAACTCTTTAATTGTTGATATCCATTCAGTGTAAGATAACTCTGGTTTGAATTTTTCTTCAGTTAATGGTCTTAAAATACTAGCTAAAATTTCGGAGATGGCTCTTCTTAAATCACCTTTAATTCTATTATTTTTAAAAAATTCTAAATAATTATTTATAAACTCTTGTGATTGTTTTAATTTTGATACTGATGAAATCTTTTAATAAAAATAAAAAAATTAATATTTAATGAAAAAAAAAAAAATTTTAATTTTAAATCAAAACTAGTTCGGGATAATTTTTTTTTTACTTACTTTAACTTTTAAAAACCTAATACCTTGTAAAATTTGAAAAGTTTTGTTTTTTAATGCATTTGATGTTAAACATAATTGAAACTCTTTAAAAAATCTACTTGAAACACTTCTTAATCTATATTTTGATAATTGACCTAAAATTGAAGCACATAAATCAGGTATTATCATTGGACTTGAATTTGTTGAAATTCTTTTCTCGACTTTAAATGATTCAAAGCACATTGATTCGATTTGAATACCCATTGCATCAGTTAAATTATCTTTAGTTAATGAATTAAGTATGCATGAAATAGTGGTACAAAAAATATAATCTACAATTAATTTATATCTTTCATCAACAATAGGTGTCACATCTTTTTTCGTAACTGAGTCATCCCTTTATTAATAATTAAATTAATGATGTTAATAAAAGATTATTTAGATTATTTAGATTTTTTTTTTTTTTTTTTTTTTTTTTTTTTTTTATTAATTTTAAAATACATACATTTTTGGTTTTGAACTACTCTTCGATGGAATTAAATGTTGTGTTGATCTCCAATTTAATAATGCTGATGTTATTAAATTTAAAAAATATTTTGAAACCTCAGTTAAACCCTCTAAAACTTGATGAAATGTTTTTGATTCCGGACCCTCAAAGAAATCCTCCAATCTAATTTTATCATCTCTAATAAAAATCTCTATTTTAACCTTTGTGTGTTCTTTAAAATCTCCTAACAGTTTGAACATTATATGATCTGCTGGTAAAACTTTATTGTGATGATTACTTATTGAGCCACCAATACTTCCCGTACTTGTATTACTTGTGCTTGTATTATTCATTGTAACATTGGTCGATATACCGCTACCACTAGTGGTACCTCCTCCAACGCCACCTAGAGACGATGTATTGCTGTGTGATGATGATTCTGATTCATTACTTCCACTACTACTTGTCCTAGTATTTCTAACCATTATATACTAATATTGATTGATTGATTGATTGATTGATTGATTATTTATTTATATATATATTATAATATGTATACAAATTATTGGTTCTGTTTTTTTTTTAAAAAAAAAAAATATTTATTTATGTTGTATAATTTTTTTTTCCTTTTTTAGTTTATTTATATTAATTTTTTATATCTTTAAAATATATAATATTATTACTATTTATTATAATTATAATTAAAAATTATAATAAAATATTTTATTATCTTTATTTATTATTATTATATTATTACAATTACTATTATTATTATAACTATAATTGTGTTGTTTATGTGTTTGATTTGTTTGAATTTTAAATTTTTAAAAATTTTAAAAAAATAAATAAATAAATAAAATATATAAAATGAAAAAAAAAATCTTTAAATTTATTTATTATAATGAATATACTGATTAATTTATTTATTTAATTTTATTTAAAGAGAAAAAAATTATTATTTTTTAATTAAATAATATATACAAAAAAATTAAAAAAATATTAAAAAATAAAAAATTTAAAAAAATAATAAAAATAATAAAAAAAATTTTAAAAAATTTTTTTAAAAAAAAATATTTTTTTTTTTATTTTTTTTTATTTTTTTATATATTTATTATATATATATAGTAATGCAATATATATATACACAAAGATTTATAAATTCGATAAAAAATATATTGTTATAAGTGTAATTTGTGAATATAAGGTTAAACAATTACTTATTACAAAAATTAAATAAATAATGATATTTATATATAAAATATATATAGTGATTAAATATGGTTTATTTTATTTATTTAATTTATTATTTTATTTATTTTTTTATTAATAAATAAAAGTAAAAAAAATATTATTATATTAATTATTTATATTTATATTTTATTATTAAATATAAAATGTTAAATTTTAAAATAAAATAAAAAAAAAAAAAGAAAAAAAAAAACACTCGGTAAACTTGGTTTTTGTTACCTCACATATTACAATAAAATTTAATTTTTCATATTTTTCATTTTGATGTTTCTATAAAAAATAAAATAAAAAAAAAAAAAAAAAAAAAAAAAAAAAGAAATATTTCAAATAATTCAATCAATAAATGTTTTTATTATAAAATGATCATTTTATTTAATTTTATTTTTAAATTTTTTGAGAAATAGATATTTAATTATAAATTTTATTTTTTTTTTTGGGCAAATAAGCAATTTATTTATACAGACCATATCTTCAATTAAACACATTTCCTACATACAGAAGCAGCTACATATAAAAAAAAGAAAATATATTTTCCGAACAGATTTTTTTTTTTTTTTTTTAATTATTATTAATTTTAATGTGTCCTCTTTATGAGAAGCCTCAACTTAAAGGAAATGAAAGCCAAGGGGTGATATTGGTCACTTTAAGAGTTTTTGTCTTGGTCAACTTATTTTTCAATGCATCATGAAGGTTGCATCAACGGTAAAAGCGATCATTTAAACAGTTCATATGAAGAAAAATTACATAAGACTCTATAAATTACCCATCCAGCTTATGGGTCACAATTTTTTTTTTTTTTTTTTTTTTTTAAAAATTTACGAATTTTTTTTTTTTTAATTTTTATAAAAAACAAAAAAATAAAAAAAAAATAAAAAATAATAAACTGTTTAATAAAATTTTATTTTATTTTAATTCAAAAAAAAATAATTTTTTTTGTTGGTATTTTCAGTTTTAATTAAGTTTTTACCTTTCTTTATTTAAATTAAGCATTTTAATTAAATATATTATTTGATTTTAAATTGATTTTATAAAAATAAAAACAATACAATAATTTAAAAATTATAATGAAAAAAAAAAAAATTTAAAAAAAAAGAAAAAATATAAAAAATGTGTAATTGTATGTTAAACATTTGATTAAATTATATTTTTAATATATGAGTGATAGTTAATAAATCAAATCCATTTAAAAATTTAAAAATAATTAGAAAAGCTAATATTTCTGGAACCAATATATTATAATAGATAGGTTATAGTTCCACAACCTGTTGAAAATTCTTTTTTTCATCCTACCCCCCATTTTAAAAATGCAGAACAGATTATATTGAGGGTGTCCAATTAATCAAGCTGGTAGACATTTCAAATTATCTAATGGCTCAGGTTCAATTTTTACACCTAGAACATGACCTTGGCGAATATTATGTGATCCAATTAAAGAGAGAATAACATAATAATTTATCTATTTTAAATTATTATTTATTAAAAATGATTTTTTTTTTGTAAGCAGTCGATTAAAAATGATTGAATGCAGTTTTTTTAAACAAACAACAAATTGCCCAGATAGCTCAGTCGGTAGAGCGCAAGGCTTTTAACCTTGTGGTCGGGGGTTCGAGCCCCCCTTTGGGCGAATTCTTTTTTAATTTTTCAATTTTTTTATTTTTTTTGCTTTTCTGCTCCGTGACAATTAAACAGCGCTCGAACCTATCCAACTGTTAGCAGCGACCCTTGCTTTTATTATCTAGCATTTGCTTTTAATTATCTTCACTTTTAAAAAAAAAAAAAAAAAAAAAAAAATAGTTTGATGCTTAATCGAAACCCCAACCAGAAGAAATAGTTTAGACACCACTGGTGTGTGGCATGAAATCAGAGTAAACTTCTTTTTGACTTTTAATCACCCAGCCCATCATGGAGTATTGATGGTTTCTTCTGGATTGCTTTTGAAGTTTTAATCAATGCGAAATCAATTCCAATGCATGTGCTGCCCAAGCTAGAATCTAAGGTGTGTAATTGCAGTATAAAATTAAAGAATAAACTAAATGGAATGCAATGGTTTTTTAGTTGCAAATTGTATTTTAGTAATTATAAAAATAATTGGAGAGAGTTTTTTTTTTTTTTTTTTTTTTTTTTTTTGGGGGGACAGTTTTTTTTTTCCCTCTTTTCTGGGAAAGGGGGGATTAACAATAAAAAAAAGGATTAAACCAAAGGGTTTTTATTTTTAGCAGGATGATTTCTTCTGGATTGCATTTTACCAATACGAATCAATTCTGATGCATATGGCGGCCCAAACTTGAATAGGAAGAAATTTTTTAAAAATTAAACCAAACGCTTTGATCAAGTTTCCTCTTAAGAATGACTATTGTTTATTAAAAAAGTATCAATAAAAAATGGTTGAAAAAGCAATTAAATAAAAGAAAATATTAGCAAATAAAATTTTAATTATCTTTTGCTTTTTTTTTTTTTTAGGGTAGATGGTTATTAATGTTTTTATTTTCGTTATTAATGGGCCAATCTGAATTAAATCATATAATATATTTTTTACCCTTTCAAAATTAAAAGGACAAAAAAAAATCATCTAATAAAATTTATTTATTTAATTTAATTTTTTATTATTTCCAAAACCAAAATTTACAATCAAAACAATTTTTTTTTTTTAATTATTTTTTTTTTTTTTTATAAAATTATTCAAAATCCCGAAAATCTAAAAAAAAAATATATAGTATTAAATAATGAAAAAAAATTACAATAATAATAAAATGATATGATAATCAAAGTAATCAAAAATCGATTTCCAACCTCTTTTTTCTTTTAAAATTTTTTTTTTCAAATAACCACTAAATATCTAAATTTATGTTAAAATTTTTTTAAATTATTTTAAAATTTTTTTTTTTAAATTATTTATAACTCTTTTTTTTCAAATTTAATTATTTTCATATTTATTATAACTTATACAAATAAATAAAAAATGAGATTTATTCCATTATTAATAATTTTATTTTTATTAAAATCAGCAATTGTTTTTGCTGATTACGAATATGCCATTTGTAATATGGTACCAGTAGATAAAAACTCACCATCAATTAATGGTAGTATTCAAATTTATAAAGATTTAGACATAGAAGTAAGTACTATAAATATATAAATAATTATAAAATAATTATTAACTCATAAATTTATTATAAATTTTTAGTCAAATACTAAATTCTTATTTGAATTTTCCTCAATTAATGGCCTTTTGGATGGAGATTATGGTGTTTCAATTCAAACTTATGGTTATCCAGTATCAAACTTAGGTGGTGTATTTAACCCAGCAAATGTCGAAAAATCTTGCCCAGGTTTTCAAGATTCAATGGCTGGCGCTTTATATGATATTTATATGTATAATGGTGCAGTTTCCAGTTCATTTTCATACCAATTACCACTTTTAAGTGGCGAAAATTCAATTATTGGTAGATCAATTGTCTTCTACAATGGATCTGTGTGTCCAAATAATTTAGCCAGACTTTCTGTTCAATCATCTGTTCAATCTGTAACTTCCGTTATTGCCTCTTGTGTCATTGGTTACGGAAATGATACTACAAGACCAGAGTCCCTTATCGGTGTAAATAAAGCTAGTGCTCCAGCTTTATCTGTTAATGCTATTGCTGTTTTACAAACAACTTCAAGTTCAAATGATGCTATTACTGGTCAGGTTTCTTTTGTAAAAGTAGAAGGTGGCGTTCAAGTTACTTCAAAAATAAATGGTTTAGGCAAAGAGGCCCATGGTTTCCACATTCATTCTTTTGGACAACTTTCAACTAATGGTTCTGCTCTTGGTGGTCATTGGGCAACTACTGGACAAACTCATTCATTACCATCAACTCTTCAAAATAGTAATACTCGTCATTATGGTGATTTAGGTATGAAATAAAATCAATAATAATAACATTAAATAAGAATAATAATACAGTTAAATTTTATTTACAACTACTAATTTTTTTAAATTTAAATTTTTTTAAATTAATTAGGTAATATCTGTGCTTTTGATTCAGCTTACAAAAATGCTTATTATAACTTTACTACTAATTATATAAGTATTCAAGGTGTTTATGGTCGTGGATTTGCTGTTCACGCTTCACGTGATTTAGGTGACTCTAATGTCGGTGGTGCTCGTATTCTCCAAGGTGTTATTGCTATTGTAAACCCATCTACCTCAACTAATGTTAATACTCCACCAACCCCTGATTTTGCTTTTGATAATATTTGTGCTGAAGGTGCCTTCAATGGTGAAACCAACTCCACTTCAAGTGGTTCAGGAAGTGAATCAGAAAGTGAAAATAGCTCATCACAATTAGTTTCATCCTTATTTATTTTAGGTTTATTCTCATCATTATTTGTTTTATTATTTTAATATCTAAATAAATCGATTAAAATTTTTAATAATAAATTTCTTTTTATAAATTTTATATTTCTTTGAATTATTTTAACCTTAAATTTATAATTATGTTTCAGTTATTTAATTTTTATAAGTTTTATTTAAAAAAAAATACATATACAATATATTAATATTACAAAAAATAAATAATTTATATGCAATAATAAATGATAAAATAAATTTGGCAATTTTATTTATTTTTTTTATAGAGAAGTTGGAAAAAATTTCAAGGTTTTGCAGATGATTCATCATCAATGGTTCATAACAATGATCAACTTAATTTGGTACTTTAATAATTTTTGCAGCAACATCATCAAAATTAAATATAGATAAATCAGTTTCAATTGTTTAATGGAAAATTAGTCGAATATTTATTTGTTTATTTATTTTGTTGTAACTAATTTAATTAAAAATAGAATTTATTAATACCACTATTTGAAAGTAGTTTAGTTGGATTGTTCTACAAATTTTTTTTTTTTAAAAGTGAAGATTTTGTTCTGCAAAAAAAACCGAGTATGAATTTTACACTGCAAAACTGAGGTTCGAGCTTTTTTTTTATAAGTAAAGATAATTAAAAGCAAATACTTTAAATTAATCAGTAAAATTTTATTTAATGTTTTTTATAAAGTTTTTAAAGAAAATATATATAGAAAAAAAAAATAATAACTTTAATATAAAAAAAAAAGAAATAATGTTTCGAAAATATATGAAAAATATAACATTGCTATAAAAATAAAATGTGTTTATTTAATTGTAATAAAAAATAAAAAATATTTTAAAAAAAAATTATATTCGTAATTGTTTTGTTGATGTTGATGTTATTTTTTGAAGTGGTGTTTGTGAATAAAAATAAGAAAATAATAAATTTTTTTTTTTTTACATGAAGGGGTTGTGTTAAGAGTGGGATTTAAACAACAGAAACTAACACATCTAAGGGTTAATCTCATTTTATTTCATCAAGTTGTTTTGGAATCTTAAGTGCACAATTTAATTTTTATTATTATTGTTGTTTTTTACACAACAACCTTTACAACAACAATAATAATGATAAAAAAATTTTAGTTCTCTTTTAAAATTTTTTATCATTATTATTATGGTTGTTTTTTATACAACAACCATAATAATGATAAAAATTTTTTTTTTCTCTTTTTAATTTTTTTTTTCTTTTATAAAATTTGGAAAAAAGAAAAGTATTTCTTTTATGGCTTCCTCTTCTGAACCTGATCCATGAAAAGCATTTCTAGTATCGGATGAACCAAAAGTACCCCTTAAACAATCTACTTCCCTTGCTTTATCTCTGTGAGTTGGACCTATAAAATCTCTCCAGCTTTTAATACTTGAACTGGTTTTATCATGATCAGTTATTGATTTGTCTGATAGAATTAAAGGTATGATAGGACCTCTTGTCATAAATGAAACTAATCGTTCATAAAAGAATCTTCCTCTATGATCGCTATAGAATTGTTCAGCTTGCTCGATAGTTAGGTTTAATTGTTTCTTTTCGTGTATTATAAATTTGCTTTCGATTAATTCTAATATTTTTGGAATTTTTTGGTTTTGTTTAACTAAAATATCGGGTTTGATTATTGCTAGTGTATATTTAAATGACATTTGATGATGATTGATCTGTTTAATCTTTTATAAAATTAAATTTGGGGTGTGGGGTGTGGGAATGAAAAGCTTGGTTAATATTAACGAAAAAAAATTAAAATTAAAAAAATAAAAAAAAATAAAATTTTTAAAAAAATTAAAATTAAAAAAATAAAAAAAAATAAAATTTTTATTTTATTTTTTTTAAATTTTTTCTTTTTATTTTAAAGCTTTCGCATTTTTTTTTTTATTTTTTTTAAATTTATTTTTTTGCATATTGCTTTATATTAATAATTTATATAGATGTTAAAACTAAATAGTAGTGGTATTACAAAATATAGATTATCAATATTAAAAGAACAATATTATAATATTAAATCATTTTCAAAATCATCAAAAAATGATATAGCGATACCTCCATCTCAAGATGGCTTATTAAATAAAGTGGGCTCAAAAGAACAAAGTCCAAAGAAAGAAAGAGTGGCTACAATCAAAGGTTGGAGTGAGGCAGAAAAAGAGCTTGTAAAGACTGGAATGGTAAGATTTATATTCATTTTTGAATTTACATATAATTTCATTCAATGTCAAAAATTAATATAACAATAATATTTTAGGAAAAATTTGGAAAAAAAAACTATCAGGCAATTCAAGAATTTGTTGGCACAAAAAGTTATGTCCAATTAGTTAATTATATGATGAGCTTTAGTATAGCTGAACAAAAGCTTATTGAAAAACAAAGATTAGCGGAAGAGGAAATTAAAAAGGAGGAAGAAAGAAAACTAGAGGAGCTCAGAGTTAAACAACCCTTATTGGTTGGAAAATACGATATATTCGATTTTGAAACCAAAAAAGAATCAGATAAGATGCTTGTATCTATGCCCACAGTTTTTCAAAAGAACAGGGGAAGAATTAAAATTTTTTATGATCAAAATATGACAAAAGCCCAATATTTCAAACCATATATCGAATTACTTTCAGAGAAATCAGATGTTAAAATTCTTTATTACGCTAGAATTGCAAAAACTCCAGTCCATTTCATAGAGAGTGATATTGAATTAACAAGCATGTTTTCATTTGAAAAAAAACAAAGTCAACTTTATTTATTTAATTTTCTTTCAAAGTATTTTTTCATTTTTTATAAAGCTTTTTTTTTTTTACAATTTACTAATTAATAATAAATTAATTTATAATAATTAATATAGATACTTAGGTTTTAAATCACTTAATGATTGGTTAAAGATTGATAATTCTATAATTAACAAATATCTTTTGGATAGGGTTTTACAGAATTATGGTGGTTCTTTGGAGCTTTGTTTACTAGAGTTATATCCTAATCATCCTTGGATATTCCCAACTTTCAAAAGAACAAAGGATTTACTAGTTTATATTAAAACCAAACGTTTAAAGGATTCAGGTTATTTAAATGATGAAAAAATCAAATTATTATCAGGCGAAACAGATTTAGAGGACTTTATTAAAACTATACCGAGTAATATTTTAAAAAATATATTCCCTCCTGTTATATATCAGACTTATTCTAAAAATGTTTTTACAAAAGAAATGTTATTGAAGAGACATTTAAAATATAAATACAGTGAAGGAAAAGAGGAGCAACAACCAACAGAGGAACATCAGCAACAACCTGATGATCCAGAAACAGTACAACAAAAACTACAAGAGATATCTAGAAGAAATAAGGTTACAAAAGAGCAATTATTGAAGGGTATTTATTTCGAATCAGAGGAAGAAAAGAACAAAGCTTTAAAGTTTAGCAACAATGTTTATCAAGTTGAAGTTGAATCAAACCCATTTTTCAAAGTCTCAGCTCGTTTAAAGGATCCTTTTTCAAAGATCAAATCCTTTGATCCAACAATTAATGTTTTAATGTTTAAAGCACTTAACACCAGATTAAAAACAAGGCCACATTATGAAGACTTTATTAAAAAAGTTACTTCAAGATATAACATTAACTCGTCAAAGGATTGGTACAATTTAAAATATGACGATTGGCTTAGAGAAAACACACTTCCAAATAGTCATAGAGAATATTTATTTTCGAGTTTAGAATCACAAATCCCAGGTATTGAGTTAAGAGGGTTCAAAGATAAACATTTTGTAGATTGTTTCTTCTTAAGCGAGGCAAGATTAAAGGTTAGAGAAATTCTATGGAGAATTGTTAGAGAACAATTTGGTGAAAAAGCAACTTTAGAAGATTGGTACAACTTAGTATTTAAAGACTTTAAACAAAATGATAAGGATGAGCTTAAAAACATTTCAAAATTTTCAAGTATTCGTTTGGACCATTACAGTGCTTTCGCTTATCCTTATTATGACTGGATTTTAACTAAATTCACTCATTTCGATCAAAATTCAAGATCTCCTTATTCAATTGAAAATATTTTTAGAGATGATACAGAAATGAACAATTTAGAAGACTTTTATACAACAAATCTCGAAAAGGTCACCTCATATTTTTCAAACTTTTCACTCTATAGAGTTGCATCCAAAAAATTCCTTCAGGATAATGTGTATTTATTCAAATTTACTCAGTTTAGAGAGTCTGAATTCAAAAGTTCAAATCCAAATACCTTATACATACATTCAGAAAGATTTTATCAACATTTAGTTAGCACAGAAAATTTAGAGCATCCATTGGATTTCATTCATTTCTATTTAAACAATCGAAACAATATTAGCGCAAGCCCAACTTTCATGGAATATGGTTTACCATTAATATTAAAATCATATTTTGGTATAGAACCAATAATTAAAGCAAATGATTTATCTGAGGGTAATATTAGGGAACTCTACAAACTTTTCGATAAAAATATTAAAGAGGAAAAAGATGTTTTAAAATTAAGTTTTTCAAAATTAATAAAATAAATATAATTTTTTTTAATACAAATATTTACTTTTTTTTTTAATATTTATTTTGTATTATGAATTGGTTTGAATTAAATAACTTTTTACAAACCATTCAATTTGAGTGTTGAGGGCAAAAGGAAACACAAAAGATTAAAATATTTTAATTTTTGTTAAATATTAAAAAATTTACATGAAAATTTTCCTTAAATCTCAAAATTACATCTGAGGTTTTATAGTGTAATTGGTTAGCACCCGGGACTTTGAATCCCGTAATCTGAGTTCGAGTCTCAGTAGAACCAGCATTTAAGTATTGTATTATCTTTCCGGAGAATATTGGCGATAATATTTTGGTGATAATTTTCTAATCTTCTTCGCAGGTTTTCCGAATCACACAAATTGACGTTACCGTGCCTTTTTTAAAAAAATTTAAAGCATTTGCTTTAAATTTTTACTGATTAATTTAAAGCATTTGCTTTTAATTATCTTCACTTTTAAAAAAAAAAAAAAAAAAAAAATTTGCTTTAAATTAAATTCACTTTTATAAAAAAAAATACTGTGCCCAAATTGTATAGGGTGTGGTAAAACTCATTTAAGTATTAAACAAGTACCATAAGCAATATAAAATACTGAAGGTAGATTTAATATCTTGGTGTAAAAAAAATATAAATAATTTATAGATTACAAGTAGAGGAGTTTTAATAGAATCTACTAAAGCAGCAACATTCTGGACTCAAATAGCAGACATTCTGCTTCGAAAAGTTTCGTCGAAAAAAAAAATTTATAAAAAAAAATTAAATTTTTTTTAAATTTCTATCATTGATGATAATTTTTATTTTTTATATTATTTTTTATATTTTTTTTTAAATATATTTAAATTTAATGTAAAATAACTCTGAACTTCATCAATTAAATTTCATATACAAAAATTACCCTTTTCCACAACCCAGTCACTAAATTGTATTGCCCATTCATATATTTACCTCATTTTTTTTTTTTTTGAGATAATTCTTGCATCTTAAACTTAAAAATGTTTTACATTGGAGTGATCTCCATATTGGGTTTTTATTTAAAAGATCAAATTTTCTAATAAAAAAAATTAAAAAAAAAATTAAAAAAAAAAAAATTGATATGTTTTAATTAATTAAACACATCTCCTTTTAAATATTTCATTTATATAATTATATTATTTTATTATAATTAATTTTATAAAAAAAAATAATAATAATAAACTGAAATTACTATCATTGATATAAAATGGATTAAAAATATTGTTTTTATAAAGTTGTTGTTATTTTTTTTAAAATACATCATTTAATAATCTTTTTACATATAATAAAATAAATAAAATAAATAAAATAAATAATATTTTATTGAAAAAGAAAGTATAGTTTCACAATTATGGTTTTCTTCATTTTTTACAAATTTCTTATAGTTATAAACAAAGATGTTAGCTTCTTTTTCTTTCTAATTTAAAAATTGTTCCAATAGAAATTATTGTATTGTTTTCATCTTTAGTTATAATAAAACATTTTAAAAAATAAATTATTTATAACACCCAATCATAATAATAATAATAATAACCAATTATTTTTAAAGCACAATCATAATAATAAAATAATAAGGAAATGGAATCCCCATTTAATTCTATTATATTTTATGCTTTAGAAATTTTCCCTCTCCTTCTTTTACTCACCTCCTATATTCCAATATCCTACAATTAGAATATATTGTTGAAGAAAAGGAAAAAAGTTTCAAAGAAATTGGTATTCTAATAGCTTATTTCATTAAATTTCATCTTATTTACCAAAGATAAATAGATAATGCAAAAGAAAAAAAAGAAAAAAGAACTGTAACAATAATTGTTGTATATAATAATTATTAATTTAAATTCAGTTGTATTCATCATATAATGATAAAAAATCAATTAATTAATAAATTTTTTTTTTTTTTTTAAAAATCATTTTTTAAATAAAAAAGTTTGTATAATGTTTTGGATATCATTTTAAAGAAAATTTTGTAAAAAATCGAAATCAAATAAAAAAAATGATCAATGATCAATATAAAAAAAAGATATAAGCTAAATAATTACTTTATAATTATTTTTTTTAATTTTTTCTTTATATTATAAAAAAATTAGAATTTTCAAAACAGTTCTTTCTAGTTTAAAATTTTTTTTTGTATTTATTTTTTATATTTTAATTTATTTCATATTTAATTTCTTTTTTTTTATTGTATGAATTTTTTTTTTTTAATTTTTAAATTTCATTATTTTTTTTTTTTTTCTTTACCTACATACAATTAATAATTAAATATATCAAACAATAAAATATTAAAATTTAATAGCATTTAATAAATACAAAACAAAAAATATAAATATATATAAATTATTTACAAAAAAAAAAAAAAAAAGGAATATGTACAAGTGAAAAAAAAATAATGACTGTTATTAAATATAATTGATTGTAAAAAAATGAAGCTGATGGATTATAAACTATATGTATGTGGGAAGAAACTATAATTTTTAATAAAAAAAAAAAAAATTTAATAAGCCATTTTTTAAAATTGAAAAAAAATAAAAAATTTTTAAAACATTTAAAAAATAAAAAAAATAAAATTAAATAAAAAAACAATTGTTTATAATTGTATGAGTTTTATATTATTTTAATATATAACTAATCATTCAATAGAAAGATTGATAAATTAATTAAATCTATTTATTTGATTTAAAAATTTTCATTAAATTCTCTCTCGATTGATATCCAGTAAAAATAAAATAAATTTTTAAATTAATTATAATTATTTTATTTGTTAATTTTATTATTCATTGTTAATTTTTTTAATATTTTGTTTATTTATTTTTGAAGCTATTCCATTATTCAACTTCACCTTTATTAAATTATTTTTGTTTTCAATTATATTATGTCCTTTTTATTTAATAATTTTTATTATTTTATTTGTTAATTTTATTATTCAACTTTGGTGCTGCGACATTGGCTCAAAGAGAATGTGTTGAAAAAGGTAGAACCAGTGATGGTGGTCGAATGTAATAGAAAAAATAAATATTCATCAACATCAAAGTTTTGGGAAGATTGAAAATTGTTTAAATATCAGCACATCATTTATAATAGCAACTGTTTGAAAAATCAAAGTAAATTCAAGAGGACAAGTAGTGATTCAAAAAGGTTGTTGTTATAATGCTAAGAGTAATAAAATTAAAAAGATAGAGATGAGGCAATTAAAACTTTAGAGAATGAGTTTTTAACTGGTCAGTCAAAGACGACAATATTACCGAAATTAAATCAATTGAAAGAGAAATTTAAAGAAAACAAGGAAATACCTAAAAATGCTGATGTGGATTTTTTGAAAGAACAAGGAATGAAATTTAAATAGATATAGAAAAGATAATAGAAAATTATACAAAAGAAATAGAAAATAAGAAATGAAATTATAAATCAAATAAAAAATATAATGAAGTACTCA